AACTCAATTCTGTTGAGCCTGAAGATCAAAAAAACAGGTCCAAATCAAAACTCTATTTATTATTTCTCTGTCTTATTGTTGTAACAAAAGGTCTGATCCACTCACTCTTTTCTCTGCCTCTTATATACTGTCTCTCTTCAACTTTTCTTTTCCCTCACTACAGGAATCAGCTCATATAATTTCACTGGGCAGCAACCATTATTCTGGTTGCCCTGCTGACTATGGGTTTTGTAGTCTTTTGTTGAAAGCCAGGGGGGGATGGGTTGTAGTACTTGCTGCAGCCACCAGAAGGGAATGTATCTTGCCTCTATTACACTACGTCTCATGACATCACAATTTCATAAGAAAAAGTATGCGTTAAAAAAATAAAGATATTTCATGTACCAGAGTAGCCTGGTATCGCCAGACCAGTTTGCATTTGTGAATTGGTGTGGAACCTCTCAGTTCATTTTCGAGTTCCATGGTTTCATTTTCAATGGACGCAGACCGACCAATCAGAGCACAGAGCGACTGAAAAATGTAAGTGCAGTAGTTCTTCTTTTAGAAAAAAAATATACCGTCCAGTTTGTTCAATACTGTCGCAATAGTGGATTCATTCAACCTCCCAACATCAGCGGCATCCACCTCGGTTGTTCACGAAAATGCTTCAGCAGCGCTCCTGTGTCAGTCATCGACACATTTAAGATAAATGATTGTGATTGGCCAAACCAGTTTCTGGACAGATGGAGATCTGTTTGAATGGAAGAGGGGGGCAAGGCTAGTACAGAGAAATGCTTTCTCCTTTTCTTGCTTATCTTGTTAAACATGGGGCATCTTACACCGTGTTGGGAGGCCCTGACTTGGTGGACTAGGGCTGAACAATTAATCAAACTATTTTTGAATCAAGTGCAATATCCAAATCACAGAGGCTGAAATTTTTTGATCAAGGTAAAATGTGTCACAACATACAATATATGAAGCAATGTGTTGTTACAGAGATGATCCTGGCCTACAAATCATATTCTCCAGACGTAAGGGAACATGCTTGTTTGGTTCAGACCCCAGCAAAAATCACATTATTGTGATGTTTGGTTTTTTTTTTTTCAGTGAAAGTGAAATGCAAAAATTACAATTCCCACTATAATTGTGACTCATATTGCACTCGCAATTTCTGTCAAAATAATCATGATAAGATTGTTTTTCTGCATGTCGTTCAGCCCCGGTGCGGACAGAGGCTGCACAGACAGTTTTTTGCTGTACTACATTGCATGTCTGCATAAATAAGTGCGTCCCACCAATTTTTATGCACATTTTCCATTTACACATGGAGAAACCTGAATGGAAATGCTCAAAATGAAGTGGTTATCTACCACATACAGGTACTGCAATGTCCCCGTTCCTCTCTTCTCTGTCATCTAAAATCCAGAACTACTCCTGCATCAAAATAATGGAACAGAGCATTTCAGCTTAAGCTCATCTGTGCTAAAAGACAACCCACTGAGCTGATTGTCATTCCAGCACTTAGGAAAACAGTCTAGCCGGTATTCCACAAGGCCTACATATGTGTATTTTAATCATTGTATATTCTCGGCATGTCGCTGTCATTCATCAGTCTGCAGGAGGGGTCGTTACGAGGAAGATTGACTATTTAATGAAGTGCTTGTCCTTGAGGAGGAGAGACCACAGAGCAAGACTTGGTTATAAGTTTACAGGAATCTCATAAAAGCCGTTACCTCTATGATTTTTCAAGTTCATTTCTTGTTTTCTAACCACTAACTGAAGGCATTTCACCATCAGCCAGCTAATTGTTCACTTTTCGTCCGACTCTGAGCACCCCTTCTCGTGCGGAACAATACAGTGCATCAACAACACACTCGAGCCATTTTAGTAAGTAGTTGGCATTTTGGAGTGTGCTTCATTTTGACATTTTACCAGCGTGGACATATGACATACTCAAAACACGATTCAATAAAATTAGTCAGAGGGGACACTTACCAGCTGCAGGAGTGCTATGCTTCAGCTACCTTGACATTTGACCTCCCTTTAGAGAGATGCTAGGCAAAAGAGATATTCAGTGTAGTGATCAATATAGTCTCAATTTGCTTCTGATTTGTTTTAACTGAGCTGACATGGACTTTCACCGTGTGTGTGTGTGTGTGTGTTTTTGTTTGGGTGGTTAAAATATATGAAAGCAGTGGATGATAGAAATGAGCGTTGTATCGTCTGGAGTCTATGGAGCATAAGTCCACCAGCAGCCTGAGAACATAAGGCCTTGCTGGCTATTAGACACAGCCTGGGAGGAAGAGAGAGGGAGTGACTCCCATTTCACGTCAAATAAATGCGATTGAATTTCACACAAGCACTTATGTGGAGCATGGATGGATGGATGGGATTGCATTTCAGAGCAAAGACACATGTCCCATAAGTACCATGTAATCAACTTGAATCCACCACGGTGCCTTTTTTTCAATAATGGAATTCACGGTTGCATCTCACTTAAGTGGAAATGAGAGCTAAGTCAGTGCACGTTGTACCACATCTTACAGTGCGTTATTTCACTGAGTTATGCAATCACTGCAATCGCGTTATTACTTTTTGCAGATTGTGGCACAAAAAGAAAAGAGTCATGTCTTTTGAACATTTCTAGTGCGACAGTTTTCACAAAAATCCATATCAGTCACGATTTCGTCAAGATTACGTCTCGTAATAAATAACTTATTGCATCTTTATATTGTGAATTGATAGACCATGCTCTTTTATTGCCAAAATCAAACAATAACTTTCACAGTAACACTGTCAAAAATCAAATTACCTTGGTCTTTCAGCAGCCTAAAGATGTTGGCAGGGAGGGAAGTTCATTTTCTCCTCTGGGATGAATGACGCTGATCTTACCTTATCTTACCTCGAGTCGTTTCATTTTGTGAACAGTCGGAGGTGAAGACAAGCAATGCCAGGCTTGACTGAGCTCAGCAAGTTGTGGTGATTGATGCCATGTGTGTGTATCCCACTGTGGGACCATTAAAAAAAGGCATTTCGTATACATATATACATGCTCGCAGGTTACTCTCTTCCTGAGCAAAATCTGGCCTCCTGAAATAATCATGGACGTTAATTTACCGATCCTAAAGCAGATGGTGATTCTCGTCGGCCCACAGGTTGAGGAGGGTGACCTTTGGGCAGAAGGTCACACAGGCATGAATCCCTGAACAATTTAGGTAATGTGGTTAGGAATATAGGACGGTCTGTGACACATGACGCTGAATATACAGTGGAGGTGAATGGAGTTTGCTTTGCTGCTCAAAGCACCAAGAATCTGTCGACGGTAAACAGTAGCGGTGGTTCCAGTGAAAACTGTTCACAGCGGACACTGTAGAGCTTCCAAAAATAACTGGGACATTATTTCTGGAAAGAAACATTGCTGTTTGACTTTCTAAGTTGTCCTTCATCATTGCTGCGAGCGGCACAGTTGAAATTCCTTTCACCTACATTTCACTTGGGGTGAAGGCAGAGACCTCAGAGACAGATATCTGTAAATCTGGACTAATGAAACCACAACTACCTGCATGGCTTGATACCACTAGAGTGAATAAGAAAATATGTGTGTTCAATTTCTCAACTCTGTAGAAAATGATTGGCTTGCTGGCCAGTAGCAGCATATTATTTACAGGCTGTGTGAGGTAATTTGAACTGTGGGGAGTTGTCTGTTATTTATTCTGTTATTGATTTATTATTTATCTTCATCCATATGTCAAGATGATGGAGATACATTTTCCAAACCTTCACAAATCATGATTTTTTGTCTGGCAGTGGCACTGTTCAGCTTTGGATTTTTTTCACAGCGTTGATGAGCAGTTATTTATTGCTGTTCAGATCAACGTCATCTTTTACATGACGAGCTGCCTAGAGCCACAGACACATAAAACAAGGTATAGATTTCTGCATCGATATGTACAGTGTCCCTTACTTTGCATGTGGAGGCATTGTAGACACGCTCTCTCGCTTGCTGTATATTGAAGATATGCAAACTCCTGGGGCCTGCTTTCTTAGTCTGCACCCCCAAATATCCACATCTTCATGTGGATTGAACTACTATATGAAATAGGAGCAGTGAGCCAGGAGCAGATGGGCAGGGTTTATTAGTAATAAGGAGTGGAGTTCAGGGACGTTGCTGCTCATAGAAAGAGATGTGGGAGATTTGGAGAGACCGAGCTGTTCAGGGTGTGCAGGAAACGTAAGCACAATCAGTAAAAAACAAGATCAGATGTGCAAGGAGAGTGAATGTTTTCAGCGGTTGATGATCTCATCTCTGTGCTCGACTGCAGAGAGTTCTCACAGTGTCCTGATTTTATTCCTCCATCCCTTACAAGAAAATTACGATTGCACCAGAGGGCTCTTCAGTAGGTTTACTACCACTGCCATAGTGTATACCTCTGTCAGCTCCTCTTTAAATCTCTGTACCCTGAGTTTCGAGTCATTCTTCAAATGACTGATCTTGTCAGTACGCATCCTTTTGACTGGGAAGTACCACCATATATGTATGCACTACACATGAGTGGCAGGGGGAAAGTGGGGGTGGGTGGGTGAAGTCACTGTCACAGTTATCAGTTTCAGCTGGGAAAAAAGATGCTAAAGTTGTTCTTTAAAGGTTAAAGGTTATTTCACATGCGATTTTATGTTTTTCTCTGTGCATTTCTTACTAGTTTGAAGTGGGCGGAGCTTAGTCGGAAAGAACTGATGTCATTTACTTGCATACACCAATCAGAAGGGAGAAATATATGAAATAATCTCCCAATAAATGATGAAAAGGGATGTTTTTTTTCATTACTTTAAGTTTTATTGTTGCTTGTTAAGTCATGAATATTTAACTACATATTGAAATGCTTATAATTTGAAAGCTAGTTTTCAGGAGCTTTAATCTTGGATAATAGCTGTGCTGTTGTAGGTGATCGTCATGATGAATTGCAAATGCAGCACACTTGTGTAACTGTTCTTTGTTTCTTTGTCTCACCATCTGTCTGCAGCCATGGGAGTGCTCATGTCAAAGAAGCAGCAGGTGGAGAAGGTGCAGAAATGCACCGCCGTCGTCTCCGCCTTCCAGGCTGGACTTAAGGATCGCCCTCCTCCAGCCAAACAGGCAGACGGAGAAGCGGAGGAAGCTGACGGGCCTGCCAAAACTTCAGCCAACCCTGAGGAGAAGAATACAGAGGAGTCGGAGAAAGAGGACACAGACAATAGCGCAGGTCCGTCCACCTCCCAGCAGGCCTCAGCTCCATCGAGGGACGAGTGTAAGGTCAACCAGGAGGCCTGGTCCAGGTTACGGGATGGGAAGGGAGTGGAGCCCGAAGATCTTGACAAGACCCATCAGCTCACACCGCCTGCTTTTGTGCGGCCCAAAAGGGAAGCCGATGACGACCAGCCTATAGAGGTGGAGCTGGAAAAGAAAGAGCAGGTATAGCATGATGATCATAGTATATGTCATTGAATCATACATACATAAAAAAATTTTTAAAACACATTATAAATCCCCAAGTCCTGGGATTAAACAGATGTCAAAGAATTTCCATGGCAAGAGCAGTAAATTATGTCTTTTCCTCCCACAAGTTACACATTATAATAAAGCAATTTGGCCAAGCTATAATGGAACTGTTACGCTTTTTCCTAAACACCCTTGTTGAAGGTGAGACAGTATGAGTTGTTTGGGAGATGTGTTGTTTTTGTATGCGAGGGCTCTTCACAGCGAGCATCTTGTGGGCAGGCTCCCAGAGGTGACCCCATCCAGGGCGACGCTGACTAACAGGGTACGGAGTTCACAGGAGCACTTGACACCATTAGGTTTTCTGTTTTGTAAAGAGTAAACAATGCATGGCAGCTTGTCTGTTCTGCCAGTGGTGCACTTTAACAAGAGGCACAGATATAAAAGCGTCTACCTTGCAATAATTATAGATACAGTACATCAGAATTTTGTAGGAAATAGGAAAGATGTGCTGTCGCAAGCTAATTACTAATCCATGGCCTTGCTAGACCACAATGAGTAAGGCAATATTACGGGATGATTTGCCAGCAGGCTAATGCTTTTGGTGAGTGGGTTTATTTGGCAGTGAATTGGTTGAAATTGATTTCTGTCACATTGAAAGTTCTGTATCTCCATTAGCAACCGTCTCTTTCTTCTCTCCTGTCAAGTATGGTGTACCTCAAGGGTCAATTTTGGGCCTATTCTTTTGTTCCCCACACATTTTTTTTTTAGACATTGCATCATTTCTCCATGATCTTACTTTCATTCATACCTTAGTGTGTCGATGTAAAAACCTGGATGTCATCTTAATATTAAAACATATTATATTGAGTTGTCTATTTATTTTATTGTAGTGGATTTTATTTTAGTCTTATTTTACACTCAGCGAGCTTTACCCTTGCACTACTACCAGGCTAGAATGTCAGCTGTGAACACAGGATGTCTCACACTTCAGTGGGTAGACTGCAAGGAAGGTCACTGAGCACAATCATGCTCCCATGGCGATGAACCCTCTGGATTTTATTGATCCCATGACCTTTCCTTTACTTCAATATTTTGGCCAAGAGTTCAACAACAACAGTTCTGTCTACACTGAGTTTAAGAACAGCAAACGTCAGTATGTTGTTTGTTATGTGGGGGATTATTAAAACTGAAGCCTGCTGGGTCACACTAGATGTTAGGCTTGATATTTAGAGAAATGACCACATCTTAGAAGTCGATGAATGACCCTCTCCAGAGTTATTATGACTAGCTTTGATGCAGGATTGTTGATGTAAACTAGGTCATCAGGTCACAAGAGATAAGCTGTGACTAAAAGATAAGCTGTGATGAAAAAAAAAAATTTGACATGGTCTCATCTGTGATGTGTCTACAGCCCTGAAGCTGGTGCAGCAGCACTGGAATAGAGATTTAAAAAAAAAAAAAAAAAAACAGCACAGCAAGGATAAAAACTGACAGTGTCTTCGTATGGAAAACCAGTTAAGCATCCTGCAGTTATTTTCCCTGCCTTGACATCTGAGTGTATATGGCCTATAAATGGAGTGTACAGGGAAGTCAGACAAAGACTTACAAAGAGCACACGTTAGACAAGGCCACAGATGCCGGTCTTCATGGTAAAATACACAACACTGTTGCTGTTACATTACACAACACTCCTCCTATCATTAAACCACACTCTGATTCACACCTACTTGTTTTTACCTCAGCCACCAAACGACGAGATGTGTGACGTGTGTGAGGTGTGGACGGCCGACGACCTGTACCCCTGCAGGATCTGCACGCGGGTGTTTCACGATGGCTGCCTGAGGGAGCTGGGCTACCTGCGTGCCGAGGCCCTGCAGGAGATGAGAGATACAGCCCACACTGTTACCGGCTGGAGCTGCTACTATTGTGTAAGCCTGCACAGCTCACTGCCACCATCACATACAATCCTCTGTTTATTGTACTTCTTATTCTATTGTGCCCAGGTAATCTGAAGTAGTCTTTGCATTTGGCATCATGGACATGACAAAGGTCCAACAGAGAACAAAATTTATTGAGTCGTGTTTTGTTTCATGATTTTATACATAAACCTCAATTACTAAATCTAATTTGATTTCATGAAACTATTCATAGGTTGTTCTTCTGGTTGATTTATGTCATGCCTCTTCAGGGACTCATTTATTTGCTTGTTGTTGCCTTTAAAAAAAGAAGCTCTTCTTGACTGTCTATTACAGGAATTAGCCAAACACCACACGTTATAATCCTGTCAGAGACACTTGGAGTCGTGTGAAAAATGAATATTATTTCCAGAAAAACAACAGCGAAAAAGGTTTCATGACTAGTTGTGCTCATGAAGACAATCGTTCCCTGAACTTAACAGTTTTGATTTTTCCCACTTTCGATTAAATTAAACTAGGGGCTATATTTATGATCTACATGGTATTCAAAAAAATATTCTTATACCAGGTATAACCATAAGCTTACCTTGTTTCTAGATACAGAGAATCAGATAAAACACTGCATTTACATATTATAGTTCTAAAACCAGTCAAAAAAAAGTCAACTTCTATGTTCTCACAGCGGACATTTTGACTTGTCATAGCAGGAAAAGCACAGTTAGAATCAATGACTCTCTTTCCTTTACGTATCGGTCACAGTAATTTAGGACAAGAATTAGGGTACAGCAGGCGAAATCAACTGTTGTTGCATTAAATATTTACCTGCTACAACTTGTTGATACACTGTTAATTATGTAAATTATTATTAAAACTGCAGCTGTTGTAACGTGAAAGTTTCACTCTTTCAAATTGCGATTTTGTTTTAAATGTTTGAGAACTATTGGAAAGCGGACCATCCTTGTTGTGACAGGGATTCATGTTCTCTTTCATGGAAAGTTGAAGCATCGTCTAGAAGCATCAACATTAGCATAAACAGCAGTTATCATACCGCACAACTGTAATGCTTTACTTTACTTTTGTGAAACTATTTCAACTTGAGTTGAAATAAAGTGAGGCAATGTTCTGGATGGGTTTTTTAGTGTGAAACAAAACGCCCAGCTTCTCATCAGGAATTCGAGGCCAATGCCAAAACTGATGACTCCGGTGATCATCGCCCTGCGAGAGGCATAATGCAGTCTGTTTTAATTCTAGCATAAATAGCTGAAGGGTGTTTTTTCTGGAGGACCCTTCAGAGTGGAGTATAGGGGCTTTTGCTGTCTTTCGCCAGCCTTGAGAAGCAAAACCACTTGCCAAAGTTGCGCTTAGAGGGAGATGTTTCACACAATCTGTGAGAGGACGCTGAAAGGTCCTCTTTCTTTGGCTCGCTCCTTCAGTGTGTGAGGAGTGGGGGCGGAAGGAGACAATTCAGTGAGGGAAGGAGAAAGACGTTTTTATTTAAATTGTTTTATTTAAACTCTAGTCTTTAGAGCTAAAGAAACCAGCAAACTTGTTAGCATATGTCACTCAGCTGTTACAAATCCCCCCACCCCTTCTCTCACATCTAAACATTTAATTTCACACAGCCCATCTGCCAGCAGCAGCCCTCCAGTGCCTGAGTTTCCTTGAAAGTGGATTTACAGTTAGCCTTCAAAGCAGGCGGCTGCGTGCACGGCTCAATGGCAGCCAATCAGACCGAGGATGGGTTCGTGAACATGAGTGACCCTTCTTTATAGCACTGACTTGTTTTTGGTGCTTGCCGCTAGCTCCGCAGGACCAAGGCAACGTGTTCAAGCTCGAGTCAAAGTGGAGTGCATTCATGTAGCAGACATGCTGGATGTGTAAATAAAACATTCCTTTTCAGTTCTGTTTTTTATCCACCACCATGAATCCAACTCCAATATTTTGTCTCTTTTTTAGCTCTGGGTGGTTTCACCAGCTCCTGAGAAAAATATCTGACTCTTAAGCCTCAGCATGTGTCAGGGAATCTAGTCTACAGGTTTATGAGAATGTCCTCACTGGGAACATCTGCTTCTGCTGTCAGATAAAAGTGACTAAAAGGCTCCACAGATATGAGGGGAATGGCAGGGTTGGCTGATTATGCTCTTATTTTATGACATAATCTACTGATTACATCAGTGCTAGCAACACACTAATTTATTGTTAGCACAGAAATATTGATTCTTACAGCATCAGTAAGAAGAATTAATTTTTTTAAACTTCCTGCTCCGGCACTGAGTTTAATCACGAGTTATTTAAAGACCAACACTGTCATTTTTCTGAGCAGGACAGTCTCAAATAACCATTGATGTGAGCTGCCAGAATAAAATTAGAATGTGTTGATATTATTATACTTTTTTCTCTCGGGGCTTGATGAACAAAAGAAGCACTGCAGATTGGAAAAGCACAGTAATGATGTCTGGCAAGGAGTTAACAAAAGAAGCAGTTTCTTGAAGACAGCATAATCATTTTTTTTTGTTGTTGTTCTTGATGTTGATTCATATCTCACTTTTTAAATTGAACTTTATGAATTCCTGTGGGAATTGTAGTTTAATTAGGAGCTTAATAAGACGCAGCACGCTGAGAGCAGCAAGAAATATAATAATGAAAAAAAAAAGAAAGAAAACAAGACAGATAGGACAGATTATGTTGTGCATGCTGTAATTTTCCTACCTCCCACATGGCTTGGGAAAATTATATTTATTTTATTGGAGGTGGCATACATAAGTAATCTCACTTCATCACCTGTAGACAAGCATGACATTCAATTTCAACAAGGCACTAAAAGCACCAAGCTGAAGATGATCTGCTGCATTTTGAGGATGATATTTGATGTACTGATGTACAAGATAAAACTTTTAGCAAATTGTTTTCCATGCTTCCATGGAACTGCAGAGAGTTCCTCAGTCATAGAAATAGCTGGTTACTTCTTTAGATGCTACTGCCGAGTTATACTGCTACAGCTCTGTTCCACATATTTTATTCTGAACTATCTATCTGTCTTTTCCGGAAATGTATCCATGTTGGGCTTTTGAATGGTTGTAGTGATTGTGCAAAAACGGAAAACTGCAACAGCCACTATAAAGCGTGTACAGTCAATGCGGAGAAAGCATGGAGGGTTTTTCAGTGAGATATCTGGCCCAGAGCTCTTTCATCAAGGGCACAGTGTTCCAGAATTTGTCTGCACATTTTTTAGGGGTGTTGCAGGCAGGACGTGATCTTGGTCTAGGTGCCATGTGCAGATTTCCTCGACCTTGGAATGGCCACCTCAGGCAGATATAGAGTAATCCTGAAGGAATGAGTGCATGGATTAAAGGTTGGATGAAGGAATGAAGAATAAAAGTAAGTTTCTTCATGAGTGACATTTCTAGATCCATTAGGCGCTTAAAATATTAAGTAAGTTAAGCTGAACCACCCACTTGCGCTCAGATAGTAGAAGGAAGATTTGGGTACTATTCAAAGCAGAGCAAATAAATAAATGAATCATTAAATATTCCTAGAGTACAGACTGTAGGTCTGTAGATGTTGCAGACAGTGAGCTAACAAGGTGTTGGCAGTTGCTGTCATCTAGATGACAGGACGATAAAATGCAGGACACCATACAGTTAGTTGGCACACATGTACAGCTCACAGTGGGTGATATGATGAGGTCGTGTGGCAGTGTTCATTTGTGGTGGATTAAATTTTTGTGCATAGGAAAAACGGAGGGTGCAGTAGGTGGGGAGTAGAGCAGTAGTAGTAGTAGTTTTAATCAGCTTCCTTAACTTAACTACATACTACTCTTACTGTTATAATTCATGGCATTTCTGAGCTTGAGGGTTTTTTAGTTTAGTTAGTATTTTTTGAGTTGGCTGTGCATTTTCATTTAGATTTCATGATGTGGCTTTTATAAAGCAGTGATGGATTGTAACAGTTGATTACAATTTAAGGGTAATCTGCCAATTATCTGATAAATAATACAGAAATAATTTACAAATCTAGGCTTAATATTCAAATCAGTTTCTCCTATGAGTTTCCTTGTTTGTGGATTTGCTGATGTCCTGTACTAGCACATGGAAGATTTTTGCAATTCAAGTTTTTTTTCATTACATGAAAATGTATGAAATATCCGTACCTAAATGTCTTAACTGCAATTAACCTGAAATCTTCCTTCTCTTTGTGGCTGTGTTTTACTAATGATGCAGTAATGAAGAGACTCAGAGATAGAACAGTATATCATGAGAATCACCTGGGAAACAGAATAGTTGGTGAAATGATCCACAATCCAATACTTTATATGCTTGTGGCTAATTGCAGGGGACCCATCTGGGACTAACTTCATATAATTAGAGCACACTGACTTATTAAACATCAAGTAATGCACCATTTTTCAATAAAAGAAACAGAATGAGCCTCACTTTTCTTTTCTTTTTTTACAAAGTGTAATTCTCTGCCCTCATTTCACCCTTTCATGCAGGATAATCTGAATCTACTTCTAACAGAGGAAGAGATGTACAGCCTCATGGAGACCTTTAAGCAGTGTAAGATCATCCCAGGTGAGTCACTGAATCAAGGTTAGGCGCAACATTTATTTAAACAGTGGCAGGTGTTGGCAGTTAAGGAATGGTGAGTCCACCACCAGACTAGAACTATCTTCAATGTATTTCTGGTCTGACCTTAATTGTAATAATGTCTACTAAATATATGCTAAATAATAATAATGATAATAATATTAATCTTCATTTAAGGAGCACTACTTCAAAATCTACATTACAAAGTTGACAGAGGCAGCAATAAAACAAAATCAATAAAATCAGACTAAGATGGTAAACACAATAAACTGAATACCTGCTAAAGATCAGCATGTTAGCATTGTCATTGTGAACATGTTAGCATGATGACATTGCCATTTAGCTCAAAGTACTGCAATGTCTAACGACAGCCTCTGAGAACTACTAGCATTGCTGTAGACTCATAAGCTTGATTTGCACCTGGTATTAACATGTGATATGTATCTGTATATTGACATATGTTCCATGTGTCTTTGCATTTACACCATGTAATAAAATGTGTACCTGTTATCTCGACTGTGCCTGTATTGTGATCGGATCTCAATATGCAAATTAGGTATGCGGGCTGACTTGTGATAGACATGGTACATCCTGAATCAAGTGAAGCAGTGCTAAAGAGCTGACATTATTCATTTCTAAATCACTTCTTGTGAGGAAGAACGGCTAGCCATTAGCCTACTTCTAGCCTAATTGCTTAAACTAGCAGGAAGAAGCAGAGTCAGGCGACCTTTGAACTTGCTGTGCGGGTGTTTTCTTAATGGATGTGGTCAGACGGTATGAGCTACATTTACATATGGCTGGGAATATAAATGTGGTCTGCCTGATGTCATCACCCTCCAATGCATTCTGTTACTCTTGGCATTATGTTTTTAGTGATGCCCTCACTTGTAAATTGCATTGGATGAAAGTGTCTGCCTAATGAGTAAACGTAATGTTTATCTTTACTCAGAACATGTATGCAGATACAGATCACATTTTAATGGTATAAATTGGGGACACATTTTGTTTTTATATTTCCAAAAAGTAATAAAAATTAAAAGATAATCACCTCTAATCCCACACTCTGATGTTATGCTCTGCTGTACCATTGCAGCCATCAGAGGCCTGCTCACTGCAAGTTTTATGAGTTCTATTCTCATTCCTCTTTTTTTTCTTTTTTTTACAAAATTTTGAAAAGAATCTCAACCAAAAACTAAAAAAGTAAGTGAAAGAAAAAAGTCCTCTCCCTGACATTTTTCTTTTTAATCCAGACCATATGTCTCAAAAGAAAAGATTTGTGAATGAAGCATTTTATATAGCAGAGCTGGCTTTCCTTCTTGTATTCTCCTACCTAATACTGTCCCTGTTGCCACATTGACTGGATTAACCTGTCAGGAGGCCCCAGGCAAAGAAATTGCTGTTTGCCACTACTAACCTACAATGCACCTTTTTATGTTCTTTGAACACATGCCTTCTTCTACCATCTCTGCACATCCCTACCTATGTAGCCACTGAACTTTCAGTGTTGCATTTAGCTGAAGAAACTAAATAAGATCACTTGGTGAACACTGGACAGAAATGTATCCACTTTACAGAAAAGCCTACTGCATACACAAAATTTTTCCCTTGAATTCATTACTGGATTGCTCAGTCAAAGTTATTACATTATTTGCCCTCAACCCAGTCGACTTCCAATTGTGTGGTATTACTCCGCGGCTTGGATTGAGGGCAATCTGTGGGAGGTGGTCTTGCCATTGTAGAAAATGAGTCACCATAAGTTAATTATATCTGGAAGACTTGTTGGTGACTAATTAGGTTTGATGTGATGAATTGTTCCTTGTTGCTCTAGAGTCATGCCTGGTGTCAGATGAGCTCCTGCAGTACCGCCACTTTGTATCCAAGCAGCAGTTTGATAAGGACCTGACTGATGAGCAAGAAGAGGAGGTCCTGGCCCAGTTTGCGGCTCTGGATCCTGAGAAGAAGGGTCACATCGAGTGGTCGGACTTCCTGTACTTTGAGTCACTGGCAATGTTAAGGAAGTTTCGCACAGAGGTAAAGTATACTAGACTGACAAAACGAGATGAATATATTCAAGGAATAATCATAAGGCGGTTTATACAGTTCCTGATTTGTTACATAACCCAACGTCACTTTGAAAATCACAACGTTTCCTCCTCATTCTCGATGTCTTCATACTCAGTCATGAACTATGTTGTGTTATGCAGCAACAGTAAACTGGGAAGAAATGTTGAGGTTTTGGGGTTGGTATTGGGCACTATAAAGGTAGATTTACACTTACGTGTACAGCAGTCTCACAATAAAAGCCTGTGACAAAGTTTGTTTTGTAGTTTGATTTGACTGGTTGACCTTGACTTTTCTTGATCACAAAATATGTCTATAGTTACAGAAAAGGAGAAGATTTTGGAGTCTTAACTTGCTTGATGTTGTCTTCACTATCAACAGTCTCTGCCAGTAAGAGAGAGAGAAGTGTTTTTGGCTGTTCAAGTGCCTGGCAAAAGCATACCTTCCTCTGCTCAGCCAAAATACTCTCTAATCAGCCTTGTAAAGGATGGAGGAACATGGGTCAAATAGATTATGTTGAGTGAGGTTAGTTTGATGGAATTGCTCAGGGGGGCAAAAGCAACCAAAATTTTGGCCTGCACCCACCTGCCTTAATTACTCCCTTTTATTGTCACTTGATCACCAGACAGCAGTTTAAATATTGTGCTTTGTGTTTGGCTCGGGAGATTAAGTTTACAGTTTGTGGACTGTGTGTGGCTCTAGCTTAGCACAGTGTAAATCAGTGCTCGCCGATTATATCAGACAGTGCTAATGTGATTGGGTATGATTAAGGCCAAAGAAATGAGCCCTAAAAATACCTTTGCCAGACCCCTAAATTACAGCAAAGGAAAGCATAAAAGTGCAATGGAGTTATTATGAGAGATTTAAAGGAGTAGGTCCACCTAATCTCATAGAGTTGTTGGTTTTTATTTTTCCTAGAACTCAATGATGCGCCTGTTGACTGCCAAGGAGAGAGACAAAGCACGGTCAGTGTTCCTGGGTCTGGATCTGGATAAAGATGGTATGATCACAAGAGCAGAATGCCGCCAGGCCCAGCAGTCCTGGTTTCACAATCTCAACAAAGACTCGCAGTCCTGTAATGTGAGGTGAGTAGACCAAAGGAGAGCCCGCATATCCATTCCCAGTACATAGAAAAATTACTCCCTTTAAATACTTTAAGGAAACAGAAGTATTCCATGTCAAGACAGATAAAAAAGCACATAAGTCGATGTATAAATTAGGCAGGAGTTTTGGGAGCCCCGGTCTCATCTGTACACTAACTGCAGCTTGAAGAGGGCACAAAGGTTTGGCTGCTAAGGGAATAGAGACCATGACAAATATAACTGGAAGTATAAGATACTTTTCTCATTAGACATGGTTCCTCCAGTCGACATAAGTCACAGTAACCGCTAAGAGTTGTCTCCAACAGTGGAAAGCAATGTCAATGCTAAATCTTGTTTCTACCACTTCTTCTCTTCTACTGAAGTTAGCATGCTAACCAGCTCAACCACTCGTCACTTTCCGATAGTGACTCACTGTGGCCTCCAGTCTGCCCTGAAGACATAGTGCTGCTCAGAGGGTGTATTATAACCTCCTGTATTATAAAGACAATGATGGCTGAAGCTCTTGTGGAGTGACAATCACCACCACCTGCTACTGGCAATAAACCATGTTTGGTGTCAGAGAAAACTTACAAATAACCCTTTTAAATGGCCTACTCTTCATACTATGTATTTGATCATTTCAGCATGAGATCAAAGCTACAGATAAATCTAGCTCATCTAACTCATTAACTTTGATTTGTCAGCCTTGTGTGGGTTGGTGTCATGCCAGTGTCAAATTACATAATTTAACATAGTTACTTAGCGTTGGCTCTATTTAATTACATTTTTGCATGCTTTCTAGTTTGATTTCATATCTGTACTCTAAAACACGTCCAGGAATATACATGAATTATTCATTACACAAATTAATAATTCATGTAATTGTTTCATAATAGTTGACATTCTCACAAAAGCATTATGTCTGATTTTATGTCTGTTGTCTATATATTTTGACTTTTTGAAGTTTCACCATCATATCACTAAAATAGTATGTTAATGCATCTGATTCAATGATTATATTGTCACATTGTACCCATGAATTAGTGTTGTAGTGTTTACATCCCTGACAAGTAAAATTCAAGTTAGTCCAAAGTCGGGTGACATAATTAGCATACCACCATGCTTTCCTTCCAATATGGTAAAAAGGATTATATTGTTCATAAATCAAATAAGTAAACAAAACAATACAAAAAAACTCAAAAAGCTGCCTATAAGACTTTCAGCATAAATTACACAGTGGTTAACATGGACTTAAAAATTAAAACAAGAGTTTAACAACTGTCCTCCTTTAATGTTTGTACTAGCGTTAGCATTTATTATTTAACATGTCCTCTGGCCAGTGCGCAAAATCAAAAACCACAGCTATGACACTTTGGGGATTTGCTTTGACTAAGTTTCACCAATGTTGTGCAGCAAAAACAAACCCACAACACTCTGGAGCCTTTGGGAGATGTGGTTGCCATCCCCGCAGTGACTTTCTGTTTACTTCTTTATCGTACATTGACACTGAAAATGTATGACTAACCAGTGCACCCTGGAACACTGGGACTGGCACATAACAATGTTGTTTCCCTGTCAAGCTGCGGAGGAGCCTTCAGCTAAAACTGATAAGTGAGGAATCACAGCCATTGTTTCTGATTGGCACTTTGGCCTGTGCAGAATGCAATAAATGATTATATCAGTGCAACACTGATAAAGAACCAGCAAAGAGACATGACCTGAGCAACAAAAGGATTCTCAAATAAAGTGTTTCTGCCTTTATCAAGTCAAATACATTTAAATCATATCCATGAGAATCATGGTAAAACAAGCGGAATTTTAAAAGCAAATCAAGCTTGCTACTCCCTGCATATTAAAAGGCACCAACATAATGTGTTTCATTCAATAATGTATTCTGTACTGCCACTCATGTTATTAGCAGGCTTTTAGCTGCCTGTCAGTTTGATGTTTAGTATTCTTGCTATTAATATATTGACATGTTTTAGATGAATGAAGCTGTTTCTTCCCTTAGAGCTCACCTCGCTTGAACTCAATACAGAGCTGTTTGTGCTTTGATCAGCTGAGATCAAGTAAAGTTTTACTCCTGAAATGGCTACAGGGTATGGACACAGTAATATGAACAGTATATACAGTAAAGGGCAATTCAATACAACAACCCTGCAACTTATACTACCTTTTTTGGTTGAGACTAAGGAGAGATAAAATATTAGATACAATTCACAGTAAACGCAATATAGTCACTGCAGAGTTCAGCCTCAAAAATGACTATTTAACTAAATGAGTTAACTGAGAGTAATAATGACAGAAAAATAAGCTCTGTCTGACTCCGATGAGGTTAAGTTTGTTTGTACTCACTGTGTGACATTGTGTGTGTGTGTGTGTGTGTGTGTGTCAGTGGTTGAAGATCCTTTACTTTCGTAAAAGCAGTAATACCACAATGCAGAAGTACTCCATTACAAGTGAAACTCCTGTATGAAATAAAAGTACAACCAGAACTAGAATGGCACTCAATACAGCGCATACCTTCACCAAGGCCAAACATTCATGTCTGTGAGATCTAGAATATTATCTGGATCTGTACCAGATGTTACAGTTACATTTTCTCACATTAAGATCCAGGCATTATTCCCTGACAAATTAACAAAAATGCTGATAAATACCCTGTCATGAAATGTTAAAGAAATGATGAAGGAAATGTTTTAAAAAATTCCTGGATCCATCCCTTTAACTGGATCGACACCAAGATTAAATGGATTCTTCGCTGGTCCATGCCACATCCCTCGATCAAGTTTGGTGCAAATCGGTTCATTATTTTTTGTGTAATCCTGCTGACAAGCAAAAAAAAAAACAATAAACTAGAAAATGCTCTCAGCATATACCTTCACCAAGGCCAATGTGAAACAACCAGCACCAGATTTCAGTGGAAAAAATTCTAATTCATAGTAAATGATACAGATCTGTCCCAAAATGTAATGGGTTCATAATGGGCACATGTCCCATCCCTCAACCAAACTCGGTGTATATCAGTTCAGTGCTTTTTGTGTAATCCTGCTGTCAAACAAACCAACAAACCAACAAGTGAACTGACATGGGTGAAAAGATAACCTCTGTGTTGAAGGTAAAAATACACTGAAGTATCAAAATGAATCTACTCATTATCATGAATGTTAGTATATTACTGAGCTATTATTACTGATGCATGTAACATGAAAGCAGTATTTTAGTTGTTGTTTTTATTTTACTAATGGTAGATATTTAGTTTTGTATATAAAATCAGAATCCTACAAGTATAGGAACTACAAATAAATGTATTGGAGTGAAAAGTACAAGCTGTCCCTCTGAAAGGTGGTGAAAAATAGCATGTAAGGCTTGTACTGGAATAAATGTACTTCTCAGCATGGGGTGTGTGTGTGTGTGTGTGTGTGTGTGTGTGTGTGTGTGTGTGTGTGTGTGTGTGTGTGTGTACTGTATGTCTGTGCATGTGCTTGTTACTGCTTATAACCTCTTGTGCTGTCAAATCAATCTCCTATATGCTGTGCCATTCCATCCCTCTCACCTATTCAACATGCGGTATTCCCCACAGACTCATGGGACTCTGCTCTCCTATGAATTGTGGGTGAGTGTGACTCAGCACTGCATGGCTTGTCTTCTTCTCCTCACTTCAACAACCCTCAAGCACTCTGCAATCCTCAAGTATTCTCAGACAACCCCTCAGTTTAGATTTCATTTGTAATTTAACACTAAAAACAAGAAACAAGAAGAAGATAAGCCTCTTAACTCCAAAGTGGAACTCTTTCTAAACATATAGCAATCAAAGACAAATGCATCCTTGAAAGAAGTTTAATGAGCAGAATGTGAGTCCTTCATTTCATTAGATCTTGTTATACTGACGCATGGATGCTGGCCTCTAATTATAGGGATGAAAAGAAAGCCTTTTGTTCTCTTCTTTTTAAAAGCCTCACTTATCCGTGTAAGAGGACAATCTGGGGCAAGAGGTTGTGAGTGCGCGCATCAGGTCCACACATAGCACTAAAATGCAACCTCACTAATTCTCATTAAAAAGCAAATAAATATCGAATGAGTCAGAAACGTCTGCTCTCTTTGATTACTGGGTTAGAGACATTCACATTCGCTACAGTGTGAAAAGTGAGTTTTTTAAGGAGCCATCAGTCAGAGGGTTAATCAGTGCAGCTTCTATTTGACTCTGAAATATCAGAAGCCGATGACTCATAGGTGTGGCAGACAGCCATTTAAGTGTGAAAAGGAAAGTGTCTTATATTCTTATGTAACTTATTTGATTTGGCATTGAAAAGAAAATCCACCCTTAAACAGAGCTTACATTAGGTGTTGGATATTAAAAAAGGTCCACCTTCTGCTTTTTTTATTAGCCTAGTTTAAACTGAGCAAATGCCGAGGAAGACTGTGGCTCTAAGTGACGGGAAAAGCTATTAAATTGAGTTTGAATTTACATTGTGATAACCCTGTGATTTAGGGCAGTATAAGGTGGAAAAGAGAGCATCGAGAATATTGGTGGAAAGATAATCAATTAATCATGAAAGCCAATCCATCAAGCAGTGCCTTTTTTATGTTTTATGACATAGTGAGATGATTATCTTTTCTTATTTTTCCATTTAGGATTCTCAGTGACTCTTATAACTGGAATGAAATGTTTAACTTTTATAGAGTCTAACTTTTCAGTGGCATGTCATGACTATATTTCAAGCGTATAACTGGTTCTACAGGATCGGAACACTTTTCTGGGCAAAAGCCCATGGGAAGTGAATCCTCACATACATTGCAATGTTATATGGTTTGTTTTAAGTTTTATTTGAGATTACAGACTGTGAACGAGAAATGTCCTCATCCCAGCAAAAATAACTATGGGTGCTCTATTGTTCAAATAGATGGTATAATGTCATAATTTACATTGCATTTTTTTATTATAAGTTTTTTTTCAGCTCAAGGGGAATGCCTTCTCCTTCACTGACTGATGTAGCAGCTAACTCATTCTGTCTGTTTTTATTCTTTGTCCTTTTGTTCAGTATAAGTCAAGTTGGCCCCATATGTGAGAGCAGTCCAGGCAGCTCTGACAGTGAAAGGAGCAAGACTGGTGAAAGCAGGTTTGTCCTCTTACAGTATATATTTAGTGAATGTGTGTGAGGTAGCGTGGACACAATTACAATGTAATAACCCCGAAGTAAATATCAGTTCAGTGAAGCTCTATTCTCTCAGGATCTTACTTCTAATGAGCATTACAGGCCCGCAGACCTAAGTGGGGGAATTTACATAACCTTGCTCCCCCTGATCTCCACAGAGACTTTCCCACCAGACCAGCCCACACATGGCTGTTGTGACCCCACAGTGGTCCCCCTCTGTGCAAAGAGAGTAAAGTATTTTGTGGGCAGCAGCTGAGGGATTAATTTTAGGAGAAACAATGCAACCCAGAGGAGTGCTGCGTGGACGGCAATGACCTTCTTTATTTCAGGCTCTGTTGTCCCTCCAAATTAAGATAAATCCCTTTTGGTATATCACGACTTTTGAGTTTCCTTCATGTCACATTACAAGATTTTTAAATCATTGTAGCTAATGCACCAGCACTCCAGACAGCAACTACAGTGAACCACATTTACAAAGAAAACATTACATGAGTCATACTAAGTTGAACACTAATTAGCAGAACATGTTTAGACAGAGGTCTGGCAAACACTGTTTTTATGACTGAATTTTCACAGTGAATTATACTATTACCAAACTGTTTTTTATTGTTTGATGGTGTACGCTGCATGGGATCATGCCTGCACATGTACCTATTTAGTGTGGTTATCATGAACAAGATACAAAAACCCAAAAATGAACATCAGAATCACATTTTTACGTGTAGCCAATAAATTGCTCATACTATTTTATGTTTTAATTATTGTCAATAAATTCCATGGTTCCTACTGAAGTTACTTTAAATTACTTACTAAAAAAACACTGTAGTTTTTAGGAAATATTACCCAACGAAGAGGAAATACAGCATTTGTTTGGAAAAATTTGGGAAAAAAAACTGTGGATTAATATTAATTTGGTGCCATAAATACTCACTATGGTAAGTGAGTATTTATGGCAGTGAAATGGCATTTGTAGGGTTGGCTCTAAACAATAACTACAGTGGCCATGTTCTTTGAATGAAGGAGTGACTTTAATTTTAACTTTTAGTACCATATTTTACACTTTTCCAGTGTTTTATTAGAAGTGTTGATATCCTTCCAAGATATATTTGTGATTTTACGCACCAAAAATTATCTCAATATAGATTTACATCTCCTCTCTCAGGCTTCTCTCTGGAGCTCTAGCAACAACAGCTAGGTGTTGTTAAGGCTGTGAGCCTCTCCTCTGATTGGCTGACTGTTTTTCTGAGTGATCAAATAAGAATATTGCAGATTCAGGTAAACACTCAGAGAAGCCAAATCCTGCAAGGCTGGATGGTGGGTCTGGGTGGGCGGGTCTTGGGGCGTGGCTGAGAGCGACTGCTTTGTTTTGACATCACAAAGTTACAGCAGTTCTGAAGGCTTGTTTTAAGGCTCAGTGTCTGAATACAGGCTGTGTGTATTTCTCTGTGGACTGAGCACTTTGATACTTTCACGGTATTAATATAGAACCTAGACCTGCTTTATAATCAAAAATGACATGGAAATCTCACTTTATACTATAATGAATCTTTAATAATTTATATAATAAAACATATCAGGCTTTGGCTGCACAGACAGTACTTGTTATTATGATCAGTTCATTGTTGGTTTCGGTCTTTTCATGGGATTTGGGGACAGTAACAAAATATAGAAACTAGTCGTCAATAGTCTGCAGTTTGTTGTGTTTCATGTTTCATGACCCCAACCTTATCCCCAGTTTGTAACCGTATACATACATCGAATTTTGTCAGACTGAAAAGAAATGATTGCAAACAGTGATTTCTAACTAATAAATGAAAAAAAACCTCTCTTTAACAGGTCAGTGACCTGGGCAGACTTTTTAAAGGAGAGTGCCATCTATGTTTTGGCTGCGCGTCCCAATAGTTCTGCCATGCACATCCATCTGCCTCTATAGTCCAGGATCCTCCACTGCACCCAAGCAGAGAGAGGGACAGGGAGATAGAGGGTGTACCCTATAATATACAGATGAGCGGAGGAAGATAGACGTGATGACACGATGACACGAGGAAGGCGACTGAGTGAACTGGATGAAGCACTGAGAGACAGCAGATCAGGCCATTGATGGAATCTCTCCTCCTCTGCTTCACCTCAATCCACTACACCGACAACACACATGCCGAATGACACAACGACGATGCAAGTGACAGCAGCTGTCACTGGTCCCAACTCCAAAACCTGACGGCTTCCAACAACAAATGCGAGAGATAGGACGAGGAAGACAACCACCAACTCATGACTAGTCAGTCAGTCAGTGATATTCCTGAGCCCTTGTATGAAGAGATCATTCACATGAGCAGACAAGCTCCTAGTGTGCTCGCACTCTGTTGTAAATGACAGATACTACACTCTATGGCCATCCAGCCTACAAAACACACCTCTTCATGCAGGTACATTAATTTGACAGGCTGTTACTCTTTCAAGTATCCATTCCTCTGGGCCTCATCATGTCCTAATAATAACTCCATCCTACTGTAATGGGATTGTGTTATTCACCAACAAAAGTGTTAATCGTTGTGCACAAAGGCCCATGCAAATTCATTACTGGTACTGCTTGACAAATGGATACACTTCTGGGAGTAGATTAACCCTGCAGTTGCCATTATCAGAACATATACCAAACAGAAATGATAGCTATCCGCATACATATTATATCAGAACTGCTATAAATACCAGTATAAATTATTATTATGTATTAAAAATCCATATTTATTCCTGTATCCTCTGATATATCTGTTTTTTCCCCATTCTCATCCAAGACTCTATATGTTCTCCTGAAGTACTACGTGTGAAAAAGAATGTGAACGTTAATGAAAGCTAAACCAGTAAGTGACTTGTATATACTGCCATATAGTACATTTTGTTCCTGTTGTGCTCACAGAGCTGCACTTTGACAAGGTGGAGACATCTGCCTTCCTGTTCCAGTGTCATTATTTGCACTGTGGGAATGAGATGTAGCTGGACCACTGTGTGAGATAATCATGTCATGAAATACTGAGAGACAGTGGGAGATCGGCTGCAAACATTTGTCATTTGTTAAATTAATTTGCAGAAGCACTGATTAAAACTTGTTATGGAAGATGTGGTGGGAATTCTATGATGTTACAAGTTATACAACAATTTAAATGCACATGAAACTGCCCCTAGAATCACTGGAAATATACTGTAACAAATAGAACTTCATGTAGTGTTTATGCCATGAATTAAGGTTATCTGCCATGTCCTTTTAGTGAATAAAGTATGGTTACGATATGAATGTTGATAGTCTGAGGGATTTGTCACAGTGCTGAAATAAACGCATGGCATTTACTCTCCTTCTTGAGAATCTTGGGTTTGTGTCTTTTTGTCCTTTTTTTTTAGGCAAAATAATAACAAAAAATAAAAAAATAAGAATAAACATGCTTAAACATTTACCATAGAGATGGACAATGGAAATGGTTGAAATCAGTACCACAAAATTTATACAAATATTTTTTCCATAATCCATAAATCATTAATTTGGACAAAATAAATTAAATAATATTGAACAGAATTGAACTGAATTAAATTTCAAAGCCTTTTCAAAACCAAAAAAACACAAGAGCAAAAGTATAAGGAATGGATTAAACTGTGTGTGTATCTGCTCTAACATTATACAAACACTAGCATGTCCTGCCAACTACAGTAGCTTAGTCATTATTACTCATCCTCAAATTCTGTTTTCTTGTGAAAGGGAAGCAGTGTTTGAAAATACAAACACAACCACTGCGTTGCTTGTATCCAAGCCATTTGAGGGTTACATTATGTTAGAAGAAATAGCATTTTAATTACTTTTTTATAGGCTAATTAGCTGATGAGGATGCTGACTTTTTGCCTGTGGGGCAACTTTAACTTCAGTCTTTTATAGCTTAGCCATCATGTCCAATTTAACCCTTTAACTGCCTGCTCGACCATATGGTTTAGCACACTTTGACTCTTCCATTGCCTTTTTCTTGGTGGAGTTGTGAAAGGGTTAAGACTGTTTTACTCTTTTACTTGTTTTAAAACATCAAAAAGCCAGTTACGCCCCTTTTCCACTGGTCAAATAACACAGTAAGACCCGCCAACGTTGTGCTTTTGTTGGCAATTTATAGACAGTTAGAGACAGTGTTTTAAGCAACCCACATAATTTGAGCATGAGCCCTAGTTTACTCTAGCTAGCTACAGCTGATGATAAATCTGCCGCATTTGTCATTATAATCAGCACCATGCAAAAATGCAAATGTGGTGCAGCAAGAGTAGTATTACATTTAAAATTCAGCCATTTATCAGCTCCCTCAGCTTGATTACCCTCCGCACACTATTCCAAGTGGCAGGAACAGAAAACATGGCGTGATTTAACTGTTGCTTCATCAAGTATGTATACACAGATTATACATTCCACAGAGCGCAAATGGCTTTCCCTGAGAATCTCACCCATACCATCTCAAATATATCAATGTCAAGAGGATGGTAGCACAGGGACAGTAAAGTGCCAATCGTGGAGCAGATCGGAGCTGAGTGTCTGCTCTAGCTTACATAAAGAGGACAGAACCCTGGCTCTCAGAGTTTCATGGCCACTGGACCTTTCACCTGGCAACCACTGACATGAAAAGGACTTAGCGAGAAGATCACCTTCTCGCTAAGGGTTTTGCCAGCGATAGGGTTGGACAGAAACTGTTTTATGAACCATACCTTGCCTCAAAGGATTGCCATGGTAAAAAAAAAAAAAAAAGAAAGAAGCAAAATTGGTGAAAATAGAGAAGGAAAACAGACATGTTGTAGCTATGAACCCTCTGCTACCCTGAAGCTTCCTCTTTTTATCTGTCAGTAGAAGAAAGAATAGGGAGGAGTGCAGCAGTAGCATCTCCCCCCAAATGTTAAACTGAAGGTCACACAGTGAGAATGGGAGAGAGACACAAAAAGTAGAAAAAGAGCGAAAGACAGAGAGAGAGAGAGAGAGAGAGAGAGAGAGAGAGACTAAACAGGAAATAGGGATAAAAGGACACAAAGAATGAGACAGCGTGTGTGGGAGAGAAATCGTTTAGATGAGGATATTATGTAACTGTTTCATAACAGATTCAATGATGATGGTCGTGACCAGGCTAATTGCCACATTAAATGCTGAGTCAAATGTGAAACTTGAGCTCTGAATTAGTCCAAGGTTATCCCACCCAAATAGCCTCACAAATTATCGGGCTAATGAGAAAGATTGTTTTAGGCCCTGTGATGCAGCCTTCATGCCATCTGAAATGTTCAGCTAATGAACAAGTTCTCTTTTCCAGTCAAAGGCCTGGTACACTTTACAGGGTTGAAACAAAAAAATTGTACATGCCAGTGTGAGTATAAACAACATCTCTGTCTTTTGGGTATGACAGCAGCAACACGGCAGCAACAAAGGGCAGAATAGTGTGCCTCTATTTCCTTTTCTCATGGTCAATCTTATTTAATCTATTTCTTTATAAGAGCTAACATCTTTATAAAAAAATTATTATTTACAATGGATGTTAAAGGCTTTACAGTGTCAAGCACACACTGGATGTGGACCCACAAAGCAGACTCAGATGAGGGTCAGGTTCAAAGTTTTAATCAGTCCAGAAATCCGAACACAAGTGATCAGTCAATATGGAAAAAGTATCAAAATCGTCAGGTAAAACTCACTGGTCAAAAAAACAGGTAAAAATCACACAAACACGAGGGGCTACACGAGAAACTGCTGGACCGCTCACACGTGGGTAAAGACGATCTGGCAACTCATGAGGGGAAGGCAAGGACTTAAATACTCTAAGGTAGGGGAGACAATGAGACACAGGTGAAACACATTAGGGCGGGGCAGGTAATCACACAGGTGGGAAACTTGACAGGACGTGGGATCTGACATGAGAAAAGACAATGGTTACCAAAATACAAGAGAGGGAAACATTAAAGACAAAGAACCATGAACTCAAGTAACTTGGCAGGTCATGACATTTAGAAGTTTAATAGATTAGAACATACAATACATCAGACTTCATTCCTTTACTCACCAATAGCTGTCTCCAGAGGTTGAAAGCAACCCTTTTGTTTTGCTTCTATTTCTATCATTTCTTCTCTAAAACTAAAATTGGCATGCTAACCAGCTAGCATGGTCGGCCCATCTTGTCACTTCCCAATACTGAGTCAGTGTAGCATCAGAAGTTCTGCCCTGAAGAAAAAGTGCTGTATTGTAAACACAACAGTGGCTGAAACTCTTAGCAAGTCTGGTAAGTTAACAGCTGTTAATGCTAATGTTGGCTATGCAGAAATAGCATACCTTACAAATAGCTCCTTTAAACTGCAATTACAGAGATATTGATGTCATCAAAGAGCAGACGCTTCTTCTACACATTCTGTATAAGAGAGTTTTTCACAGTCATGTAGTTAAACTGCAGTGACGTAATTTGATGGACTGTGTCAGTGGAACCATTCATTCAACAAAATTGTTCCAATTAATTCAAACTTCTAGTAGACCATAACAAATCATGACAAGATGTGAGGTCAATGGACAAATCAAACTTTCAGGCAGGCAGTGTGAAACAGCAGATAAAATAAAGGGAAACGTTTTGAAATTCCTGCTATAGAATAGTGTATATAGACATTGTTGTTAAAGGATAAGGCTGACAATACTCAAGACATTACTTTTTCATGTTGTCAGGAAATACCATTAAAAGACCAAAATCTACAATGAAGTGATTCCACAGACCAATGATGCCAATGCGGCCAAATAATTTTTCAGGCCATAGACGATAAATACATCAATTAGAGACAATGCATGCAATTTCTACTGGCTGACATGTTTCTTCATCACCACAAACATGGGCACTAAAGTTTTGAGTCAAACCCACATACACCCTTTTGCCGCTGTAAGTACTCATTCAAGCACTAAATGTATATTAACTCGCCTCTTAAAATAGTCCTGACCAAAACAAACTGACATAGGCCTATTTAAGTGACCTTTGTTAAAAACAGCAGTGCCCCACTGTTTTGTAAAGCATTTTTAAAAGGAAACGATATATTTGTGACCTTTTTTTAAATGTTTATGTCTTCGGGAAACAATGAGAATTCTATTTCATAATGTTAAGCTCTGAATGTTTTAATAAAACAAGTTTTCATTCAGTGTTTGACAAAGGAATAATCGCATGAATACAAATGTGTTGCATGAACAGATGTGAGCCTGTGAGAGTGCCACGGCAACAAGTATGAGTTTGTGAGTCATCGCCTCCCCACGAGTAGCTCAGTATAAAGGTTATCTGGCTTGTCCTACGGAGAGTGTATCAGGGCCAGCTGCTGGCTGAGGTGTTACGGAGTGGCTAACTGCTGCTGTTTGATGGCTTGACTCAGCAGGGATGGGTAATGGTAAATAAGAGTGGCAGCCTGGTCATGGCTCTGGGGAAGCAGTGCCAGGACGGAGTCACAGTAAAATGTCAGCACATCAGTAACATCACGGAGTTAATCAGCAGGTTTGTGAGCCAACACAGGGTTTGTGATGAGACTGTGAAAGCTCTCCCAGTTTGGGCTTTTGACTTTAGAGAGAAATTCTATCAAAGCAGGCATTCAGGTTGTAAATATTACAAAGACAAAAAATCTTGTAAAATATGTTATGTCAGTTTCTTCAGTTTAGATTTATAAACATTTAAATAAATGTATAATTCGCTCTCCTAAGCATTTGCCTCAATTATGTATATTTGATATGATGGGATGTCTACATAAACAGTCTGACTGACAGATAAGAAGAAATAAAGTAGGAGCCCTAATCACACAGGATAAATTACAAGAAAATAAGTCTTTAAATGATGCAATATCAAAATTTACCTAATCCCACCTATGTCCTTGTTCTACCTTTGCCAACTGATTTTCAACACATCAAAACTAACAAAATGCCATACCATCCAACTCCATCCCTCCAATCCATTTTTAGATCCACCTCCGCATACAAGGAAAAAAAAAAAAAAAAAAAAAATATCACATCCCACCTCCAGCAGCCAGGCCAACTTCTTCCTTGGAGCCCACTCAGTCTCCTCAGCTGACGTGAGCCAATTACAGCGGTCTGGTTCCAGGACAGTCGTCTAACATGCCTGGCTCTTGTTTTTCTTTTTAAAAGCTCATTTAATGAAATATTGAAGTGCTCTTGTGAAAGTGATGCATGGCACGCATCTCTCTTCTATTCTACCTGCACAAAAACATGCATATAAATGTCTAAATCACACAATAATGGTCTTGTTGTTTTCAGATTTCTAAATAATACATTCTCCCAGATAAGAATGAGAAGAAAGAAGAAGCCAACAATATTAGGTGGTAATAACAAGGCATAAAGGCTGTGAAGGGAAAAATTAAATCTCTGTAATTGAACACCCGGTGTGGACTGACATCTGTGTACTGCAATCAACTGTGACCATGCCTATAATTTGGGGCTGTGTCTGCTGTGACATTCTGGATAATAGGGCTTGGTGAAATGTAAATTCTGTTTTTAGATGGTCCAGTGAAATTTAACCCCCCCCCCTTCATTTCACACATCTCTGCTGGACACCGTTTTTTTTTACTTAGCTCCTCATTATGTGCCATAGACTGCAGTGTTTGCTGCCCCCTGTGTGCTGTATGGGGAGGTGAACATCATTATGTATTTTAAATCTGTCGATGTTGGAGGAAAAGAGAATAGGTGTAGTTGTAGGAATGGTGGTGAGGGGACCAAATAAAGATGAAAAGACACTTTGAGCTATTGCTGCAGCTCTACATGACTCCATTAACAGAAGAGAGTGTAGGAGACTGCCCCATGGGGTGAAAGAGATAAAGAACAATTAGCCCTATCTTGCTGGCATCAGAGCAGCTAAGGGAGGCAATGCTGATGGCAAAAAATAAATTAGTAACATCCAAGAAAAACTGTTAAATTATACAAAATAAAAATATTAACAAATAAGAGACACTTTAAGCTTGTACAGCGATGGTGTAACTAATTAACACTGATAATGGCTACTTTCCAGAGGCCTAGCATTATGCATGATAGCTCATTTGTATGGTTTATTGGTCTATCCATATTGGAACAGAGCCACCATTAAAGTTATATATCACACTTCTTCTGCTAAGAATAATCAAAAACACCCACCGGAGCACTAGAACAACAGCACTATAGGGACAACTGAACACAGGTGATGAGGTTTGGCGCTGGCCTGGGATCAGGTTGTTCTGCCTGACATAGGAATTAGAGATTTGTTGCATGATCTCATCTCTAAATGGTTTCATGCTGTACATTGTCACTATACTTGATGCACGCTCCCATCTAGTGTTTATTACATACAATTACATCTCTCATTACACATTAGGAACAGAATTATAATGTGATAGTGATAGTTATAGTCTGCAAGACAAACAGCTTAGGTGATGATACGTGCTTATGGGGAAATAAAATATTGCGGGATCATTTGATAGCTTTTAATGAGGCTTTTTTCATCTACTGCGCATGCGCAAACCGGAGGGGGCGGGTTTGTTTGCTGTGACTAATGTTTTGTTTTCTGCCGTAATGAGATGGTTGTGACGAGTTAACACCAACAGCTACGACGCTAAACACTGCTCAGGTAAAAAGCTAATCGCCGGTCAGTATTTATAGTCAGTTCTTTCACTCCTTAAGGGGTGTCACTTCTATGTAGCAAGCAGTAGCACTGTTTGGGTTACAGGACCTCTAGTCGGCTACACAACACAATGATGCTAGCTTCTAACTGTTAGCTTTAGTAAATCATTTAGCTAACGTTGCATCTTATTGCACAGGTGCCACTGGCTGAAACTGAACTCACCTTCCGTACAGTCAGTTCACGCGAATCAAGTTATAATCCCACAATATTTAGTAATGTTGTTTCTTCTCTTGCAGTCAGATTTTAAGATGAGCTAATGTCCGTTAGCCCTCTTCGGGGGTCACGGGGGGGGGGGGGGGGGGGGGTCGCTAATGGAAGCATCATTTCGCGTTACGTAAAATTGCCACAAACTCGTCCGTGGAACAGCATCATCCTCGAAAGATAGCTACGTATACGCTGCATGATATTGTATCCGTTTTATAGTAGTACTTTACTCAAAATGTTGATACTGTCATACAGTGGGAAAATGCCCCGCATCCATGATCAACATGCAATAGAAGCACAACCCTGGAAAAACAGATCTTAAATTGAACAAATTACTATAAAGTCACATGTGGTAATTAAGGGATGATTTGACTATAATGATCAGACCCCGGCAGGGGAGTGACAGATTATTTTGGTTTGTTTTATCAGAGACAGTTAGAGAATTTGATAAGCCCTCAGTCAGACTGATACTTCACAGTGGAAGAAGTTGAACTACAGCAAAGCTCCCCTTGAGAGAAGATACTCAGAAAAAGTAGTTCAAACTATTTTGGAAAAAAAAAACAAAAAACAAGATCAAATTGACAACACGTGATACAAAATTATAACAAAGTCACATGCCAAAAGTGTTCACAGGTTAAACATTAACCAGAAAATAAATACCCCACTATTCACAGGAAAGTGAAAAGATTGTCAGCTTTGGTTTGATATACAATAACTTTTTATGTGTGGCCATGGAGATTCCTTCTTAGGCTGAGATTCGGGAGGTTTAACCACAATAATGCTGTCACTGTGTGAGCATTGAGCAATGCTTGCCCTTGGCTTTTGCACATGTATTACACAAAGAGTTTGATGTGTATGGACTGCCTGACAAATGCGTTGCCTGGGCTTACCTTCATAGGATGAAAAGAGAGCAAAGAAATGGTAAAATTAAATGGCCCAAGAGGGCCAATAGATTCAATAGTTAACTACACAAAAATGGTTATGTCTTCTTAAATCTCTTTGCCTGATGTCTTCTTAAATACAAACCTTTTCTGTCATCATTTTGAATCATCTTGATTATGTGGTAGTGACACTAACTGTAGTAATCACATCATGATAATAGAAATACCAAGAATTGCCTCAGTAATGTTCAATGAAAGAAATCAATGTATTTTCCAATTTTAAGCAATTTTGGCACAAGTTTTCATTGTTACCTCTAGTAGTATGTCAGAGTTTGGTTTCATTTGATTTCACACTGGTATGCAACTTAATTTGCACTGAGAGGCATCCTTGAAATAGGTAATCCATTACTGTAAATGCCATATTTGCCTTTTGTTTGTCAAGGTCATGTTACCATTGCTTACTTCCAGCTGACAGTGAAAAGTGATTTTTAAAACTCAGCACAGCATTATTATCATGCAGCAGTAACTTATGTAAGTAGAAATCAATGAAATAATTAATAAAAGCCATGTGTTGGGATGGATTTGTGAAGTATACTGCAGTAACTTTAATTGTCCAACAGAAACACTGGCCCTTTTAAAGAGAGAAGGTAGCATACTGAAAGAAATGGCATGTTAGGTTCATACTGAGCCTAACAATAAAAAAGTTAAACTCTAACATTTCAGGTGCTCAAGTGGTGTGTCGAACAATACCGCCCTGTGTTATTCAGTTCCCAGCAGCAGGGATTCTATAATGATTATACAGTTTTGTTTGTACAGTCATACTGTGCAAAGAACAGATAGCTCCAGCTGTTAGATGAATACAGTAATACAGGCAGCATGTTTTCTATGAAGTGGAGTAAAAAAAACTTTCCACGTGATTCTGACCCACTGCTCTTTGTAATTTACGATCTATACATGTGAGTAAGCTTATTCTGCTGCTTCACTCATTCTAGAGAGGAACTTTAGCGCCTAAGGTGTAAAGACTTTTATCTGTCTCATTTGACTGATGTGGTCTTAAAAAGCAACTCTTGCTGCCAGTAGCCCAGTACTGGCCACTAATGATTAATGACCTTATTTGAGAAATGTCACATCGTGTGGAGTCTTTTCTGAGTTGCTGTTTGGCTTTAAATCTCCTACTAACAGTGACCTTGTGTTGGCCTGCAAGAAGACAAAGCCATGGGGAATACAAGCAGTGAGAGGGCCGCGATGGGCCAGGGGGAGAAGGCTCAGCGGAGGGACAGCCGAGGTATCAAGGAGGGAGAGAGACCAAAGATCCTGATGGACAGCCCAGAAGATGCTGATATTTTTCATGGTGAAGATTTGAAAGTAAGTCACGCTCCTCTCTCTCAGGCAGACTATCTGCTGCCAACATGATAATTTGGTGCTCGTAGACTTTTTCAAACCCAACTCTTCACGTGATGTAAATCAACAGCTAGTGGTGTTTTTTCTTCCAAATGATGTTTCAGGCTCCTTTAGAGAAAGAGGAGTTCCTTGCATGGCAACAAGACTTAGAAGCAGACGACAAAGCCCCAACTTTAGACCGGCCAACAGTATTTCGCTGGACTGGAGATGGCAAGGAGGTCTACCTCTCTGGGTCCTTCAACAACTGGGCCAACAAGATTCCTCTTATTAGAAGGTGAGGATGTATCTTGAAAATTTGTGTCCTCATTTAAAGTTATTTGATAAGATAACATTTACCATTTCTCACTGAATCTAGCTAGCACGCAAAGACAGTTGTTTTGAGTGTCTTTCATGAAACAGCTTGGTTTATGAATGAAACAGGACGATACAATTGTTAGGTTGATATACATGATTTCACTGTACGACTGAAGTTTCTGGAAGTAAAAGATAAAGCCTTGTTGAAATTCAGTTCACTGGTTTAGAGGGCACACATATTATTAATGAGGTTGAAGACTCAAAGAGAAGTTACTGTTACAACTCACCTTACTTGTCATCTTTCAAAGTCAAAACACCTTTGTGGCCATTGTCGATCTGCCTGAGGGGGAGCATCAGTACAAGTTTTATGTGGACGGCCAGTGGACCCACGACCCAGCTGAGGTCAGCAGTTATTATTCTCTAAAATACTCACTCCCTTTTTGTCAAACAGGCTTTCATCGGTCACCATCCAACTAGAGAGGTTGTTGCAGCTGTGATTCAGCCCTACATTACACATAGAGGCCTCCTAAAACATTATATACATTATGTATATTCTACCTGGAAATTTCCTGTACAACTTCCTGTGATTATTATCATCGTTATCTGTAAATAAAGCTATTACACCTCTGCTATGAGTGAAAGTCTGGAAAGACCACTAAACCAATATTGTCATGACATAATGAATGGTTTTGCATTATTGTATGTTGTATCTTTGCCAGCATTACATAGTGTAACTGCAAGTGTATGTAATGAGTTTTTAATTTTGGCTGCAAGCAATAATCTGAGTGAGACCTATTATCCTGTTGAAACAACAATTATCATTTATCTGCAGCAAGGAAATAGAGTTTCACATATCTGAAAATAATTAATCACGTATCCTGTAAACTTGGCGAAATTGTGGAATGAAGGAAATATTGGACAGACGGGGTTGAACATCTTGCGCATTCAGTTATTGTACACTTGTAATTTGTCTTGTGTGTTCCCTCACAGCCGGTTGTGACCAGCCAGCTGGGCACAGTCAATAATGTCATCCAGGTGAAGAAAACTGACTTTGAGGTGTTTGATGCTTTAATGGTGGACTCACAGAAATGCTCTGACATGTCAGGTGAGTACTGATAACCCCTTTTCATGTCTGCCCTGTGAAAATTCAGTGAGGTAGCGTACAGGTTTTTGGAAGCGGGTATGGAAAAGTGTACAAAAATATTCTATATATTCTAATATTTGGGCACTCAGTCCACCAAACATCAGTAGACGTCATAAAATATAAACCATGATTCATGAATTCAGTCAGAAATTAAAACATCATAGTATAATTTTAAAATTGAAATTTTGTGCTGTTGTGTGAACTGAGGCCAGGATTTCTACACAGCTTCTTAAGAAAATGTTTGCAAATGATGTTCTCTCTTACTCATACTCTCCCGCCCCTGCTCTGCTCTCCTCCCTTCCTCAATTAGACCTCTCCAGCTCTCCTCCCGGACCATATCATCAGGACGCCTACATTCCGAAACAGGAAGAGAAGTTTAAGTCTCCACCCATACTCCCGCCGCACTTGCTTCAGGTCATCCTCAACAAAGACACGGGGATATCTGTAAGTAGCTGTGTTGTAATTAAATCAGGCCTATTCCACACACAGTTATTTACATTGTGGATGTTCTTGATATAGTGAATTGCTTACTCTTTATTTCTCTCTATTTTGTATTGTATCTGTGTAAAAAATTCCTTGAAATTAAAACGCAGTTAAAATATTGAGGGTTATAATAAAAAGCAACAACTTGCTCATTAATGTAATAAATAATAAATAAATTAAAAAAAATCTGTCAAATAACACTGCCAGTAACTGATAAAACACATCTATAAAATGAGGCAAGCAATTATGAAGAGTTAATATGCATTTATGGAAATAGAGATGATAAAAATAGAAAGATGGAAAATAGAAATATAAACAGAATCTGTTCCAGTATTCTCAGTTGTTTCTGTTTCTTTTCATAATTCTTTTTCCAGTGTGACCCTGCGTTACTCCCAGAACCCAACCATGTCATGCTGAACCACCTCTATGCTCTTTCAATTAAGGTAAGGTCTGAAGCTGACTGACTCACGCCAAAAATAAATTCAGTATTTGCTATTTTTCAGCTGCTGAAATGTGGGAAAACTCAGTGACACTTTAGAAATGACCAGATTTGATAGCATTTTTAAATAGAAAGTGTGAGCTGTTGCCGCTGTAGCATGCACAGCTGATTCTATCTGTGGAATGCCAACAATGATAACAAGCTGCTATTAGAGGAGTTGAAGGACAGATGATTCAAAAATTGTGACAGGAAAAACAAACACAATATACATGGCAAGATATAAATACAAACAGCAGTGTCAGACTACATGGAGGAAAAGACAGAAAAAAAACGACTGCCCTTCCCTTCCCTGCATTTCCCTTTCAATCCTGCACAGTATTTGGATGGACTGCCTTATAACTACAATTGTTCGAGACTGAGTGATCATATTTCCACCATTGGTCAGCTGAATGTCACGTGACTGAGTTGGAGTTTCCTCATTGGCCGCTTCTCTGACAAAATGAATTGAGACAAGAAGTTTCTATGCAGTGTTGCCAACATATCAGATTTTGTGAACGCTCCAAATGAACTCAGATGCCTCTACATTGGTCTCAGGTCGGTTGGCTTCATGTCCACGTTGTGGGTTGCTTAACCTGTGCATTGTGGACACAAAGTGCCCCAGGTTTGCTTCGCCTTTTTCTCACCTTCCCCATTGTATTTTAGCCCCGGCGTAGATGGATCACATGCTATTGCACTGGGACACACAAATAGATGGAACCATGGCCGCTGATAACGATAACAAGACAGGTGGTCGACAGACATAGGATGAACACATCAATCAGCAACTGTCTGCTATGCACTCTCTCGCTCTCTCTTTCTCTCTCTCAGTTGTTTACAGCATTTCCACAACAGTTTTGACCTAGTCTTGTTTTCATATCAGTTGGCGGCTGGTCAATTGACCTTGTTTTTAGTGTGTGTAGTTCTTTTTAAAGCTTTTTAAGGGGACTGTGCAACTGTGATCATACAGTTATACAGGTGTTGGATAAAATGCGGCAGTATATACATGGGAAACAACATTTTCTTAAACTTTGAATTTAATGAAAGAAACTGTTTTTTTAGGAAGGATTGCAAATTTTTCATATATTGGGTATTTGGAAAGAGTTTTTGTTGGTCAATAGCGAATTCACTTTCCACTTCCTCAAGCTAGCAATGTGCCAACAATGCGTTTGACCACACTTCATTTTAAGCCCAACGCGCCATGGGTGCTCAGGGCGCAAGTGCACTTGGTATTTAAATAATGTGGGGCGGGCGCTGCTTTGCGCTGGTTTGCCACTATCACTTTCATTGGAATCACATTAGAATGAGATCTCTTAATGGCCAACATGAAAACGAGGAATCATTACAGCAACCAAAAAGTCTTTGAATGTAAACACGGGCACCTGACTATTGTTTTAAGACAGACTTGAAAAGTTGTGAGCCTCCCCTGTAATGTAAAGCAGCAACAAAGTGTTTGGTTCCCAATAGTAGCAGGTTAACAGCAGTTTTGCAGCTTTTACACCACAACAAATGAGTCGCTCTGTGTCTCTATATGAAAATAAGAACTGGAATATGGTAGACATCATATTGCCTGATTGTTGATGGGGATTAGTGAGCGGCGGGTCTTCAAGATTAGTGGGTGGCCCTCCCACTAATCTCTACGGTAAAGGTGCACATGGTATGACCGATACCATTCTCCCCACAAGGCTCATGTGTATCTAAGCTGCCAGCATGCTTTGTTTTGAAAGCCTGTGTTTTTTTAAGTGAATTTTTCCTCCATGTTTTCTTTTTCTGTCACAGGATGGGGTGATGGTGCTCAGCGCGACACATCGCTACAAGAAGAAGTACGTCACCACCTTGCTATATAAGCCTATCTGATTGAAGACTCTCTTATCCCAGTGTGTTAACTGTACACTGAGTGTACAAAATATGAGCTCCACCTGTTTTTTCCGTAAAGCAGAGACCAGGTGAATGCAAGCTCATATCAGTCATGGGTTTCACCTGTTAAATCCACGTCTGGACTTGAAGAAGCAGCTCTGAGTGAGGTGGGGGAGATAGATTAAAGATTAGGAAAATAGATATTGTTAAATTTGTCAATTAAACTTTTATTTTAAGTAAAATTCAGGAATAATGTTTACTATAGGAATGCCCTGAAAATGGATAAACTATATCAAGATGACATGATAGTGTTGAATGGGTGTGCACAGTAAAATGTCAACAGATTAATCATTTGTATCATTGTACAAATCTGCCTCAAGAGGCTGGTTAAATGATGACATTACTTTATCCATTCTGAGCTTTGAACACACAGCTCTGAGATTATATCTTGTACACTCACTGTACACCCAGTTGTTGTACACATCTGCTGAGGACCATCAATGCCACACAGTTACCACAATCCTTCATAATCTGCCTTTATTTTTTCACTGATTGCCCTCTGTAGTTTTCAACAACAGTAACTTTGTTCAGTAGACATAGAGAGGCACACATCTATAATCAAAGCAGACAAAAATGGAATGAGGAGAATTGGTAATGCTGGGGAAATTGGACTGAAGGACCTCAGATACGCGAGGTTGCTGTTGTCCTTCCTATGGTTGCAAAAACAACAGTGGTACAATCAAGAATGTGAATGTGAAGGTCAAAGAAGGAAAAAATTGCACTGCAGTAGTTTTCCACTGTCTTCTTTTGCCTTTTTATCTTAAAATAGTTGTATTTATTAGTTGTATTTTATTTAGTATGATCACAGAGCACACAGTAGTTATTTTTCTATTATTTGTGAAGTATTTAGTTATATAATTTTTTTTTCTACTTTGGTTGATGATGTGATTTGTTTTGTTGTCACGAGTTTTCTCAGTATAGTTGCAGCGTTGCAGTCATTACCATTCCAGTCGAGTATCTTAGCAGGTTGTTAGGACTAAGATGATGTAGTCGAGACCAAAACCATCTCATAAATGAATCTGGTCTAAATAACTCTTATTAGATTTGCACTACCATAATAAACATTTAATTTTATGTAGAATATGTACCCTTACACCACGACAATGTATGAGAAGAATAATGCTCACACTTTCTACACAGGTTTAGTGGTCGTCACACTGATATACCATTGCACAATAATAATTTCCTTCTTTTATACAGTGTTTATGCATTCCACACCATAGAGTTGATCCCTGCTGGCTTAGTCAATATGGGATCGTTAGGTTTGTGCCATGACACATTGCCAATCTTCAGTAGTAATGCAGAAACTTCAGATGGATCCATGGGTAATGAAGAAAGACCCAACAGGAACGTTATTTGACAGGGACAACAGTATGTTAAAGACAAAGTGACCAACATTTGCTTGAAGAGCCACAACACTGACAAAGGGACCAGCATAGGATCAGACTGGAACTGTTACTGAAGAGGCGTTATAGTGAACATGTTTGTCTGCACTGTTAATGGTCAGTGTGTATTTCATGAGGTCTGAAAGACTGGACTGAATTTTAAGTTAAAGGCAGCCTATGACTTGAACCATCAACATATCATTTTCAAGTTTTGTTATCTAGGTGTAATTACCATAAACAAATGAGACCATGATGTTGATTACAGGCCACTGGATGCTGACACTCCTCAGTCATAGTCTCTTTTGTTTTATTGTCTCAGAACTAACATGGTAATGACTTATTGATGATAAGATGCTGGATATTCAAATACATTGCAGTATCATTAAAAATGTTGAGCCTTTGAACCATGCTGGTGTGTATACATTTTCGAAGATATTTGTATTAAAGATAAGTTGCAGTAAAGATTCATATGCAGTTTGTTTTATTTGTGTGTGTGTATATCTGCCTATTGTCAGCCTCACTAAAACACTCATGAGTCCATCTGTAGAGGCCAATGGCTTGTTTTGACTCACAGTCATTGTAGGACACCCTGCAGGGATTTTGAAAGCAATTTATTCTGTACTGGTCATTTTTATGATGAACCAAACAGTGTCCTTTGACTTGTCCACAATATTATTTTATTTTACATGTATTTCTTCTTCCCAATGAGGTTATCAAAAAAAGTGACAAGAGTCATTTGACATATTGTGGTGAGAGTATTCAAGGAGAGGAGGTTTTAAGGCTGCACAGAAAATGACTTTTAAAGCAGCTTTTCCCTAATGAATTTTTTATTTTTTTTATTTTTATTTTTTATACACTAATAAAGCTAATTAAAATATACAGTACTTGAGAAAAATACAGAATGACCTTCAAGCAAACATGGTAAAAGTCAAAATACAGATGAAGAAAGGTCACTGTTATTACTTCACAGAACTGCCAGAGAAAACAGAAACATTCCACTTCACTGTTCCTGAGCCTCTGAGCACTTTGCTCTCAACCTTCGTCTGCTCTTCATGTAATCATAGGTGTGTTATGGAAGTATGGGAGTTTCCATGTCCCGTTGCATATGGCAGAAAACCTGAAGTTGCTGTTTAAATTTAGTCTCATGTTTATCTCTCTATTTTGGGCATGAGGTTATTTATTACATAATTATGCAACAAACAGTGTCTACAGAAGGTTTTACTTAAGCATACCTTGTAGTTTTATAACAGTTTGACTTAGGACTATTTTTCTTACAGTATTCCAAAAAAAAAAAATTAAAATATGACTGCTCATGTACGTTTACAGTGATGTTACACATAGAGTGATTCTATCAGTGTGTCTTACTGCCTATTAAGAAATAATGATGCATTTTTATAAATTGCTGTCTTATGTGCAACAAGTGGCATTGAGTAATAATAATTTTTCCCTTGGTGTGTGGCAATATAGCTACACTTATGACAAGGCATATGGGGCATATAGGACATTTATGGAGTTCCTGATGTGTCATGCACAGTCACACACAGATGACAAATGTCTGACCAGAGTTTGACCTATGACCTATGCCTATGAGCCCAGATAGATTATACAGAGACCGGAAAATCATTAAGGGAGCATAAATCTCACCTAAAGCCACTTGGTCCGCTACATTATTTACTTTAATCACAGAAAATGTGTTGATGGTAAACATTTATTCTATATGTGGATTAAGATCTGCATGAAAATACACGTAGTGATAAACAATTTGGGGACCCATCAATTTTTTTTATCATTTACTGGTTGAGGTGGCCAAAAGCATGTGGACATGTGAATTTTACACTGTTATGGGATTTTTGAGCATCTAATTCAAAAACCATGGGCATTAAGGGTCCAATATTGTATAAAGTGAGATATCCATATATTTTCTGAATATAAAGCAGGTCTATGTTCCATATTAATACTGTGAAAGTACCAAAGTGGTCAGTCCACAGAGAAATACACACAGCCTGTGTTCGGAAACTGAGCCTTAAAATGAGCCGTCAGGACTAATGTAACACTGTGATATCACAACAAAGCTGTCACCAACCTCAGCCAAGCCCCAAGCCTAGCTCACCTGGACCCACCATCCAGCCATACAGGATTTGGTTTCTCTGAGTGTTTACCTGAAATCTGCTATATTTTTATTCGATCACTCAGAAAACAGTCAGCCAATCAGAAGAGACGATCTGGTGTTACTAGAGCTCCAGAGAGAAGCCTGAGAGAGGAGATGTTAAACTACATTGAGATGGTTTTTGGTACTTAAAATCACGAATATATCTTCTTATGGATCAACACTTAAAATAAAACACTGGAAAAGTGTAAAATATGGGACCTTTAATCGCTTTCTCTTTCTTCTCCCTCCACTCCTCTTCAAAGGTGTTTCAGGAGATTTTGAAGCCTGGTTGGGTGGATTTACTCCCACTGAGCCACAAGGGCATTTGTGAGGTTGACACTGATGTTGAGGCTGGCTCACACTTTGTGTTCTAGTTCATCCCAAAAATATTGAATGGGGTTTCTGTCAGGGAACACCATTTTTGCATGGGGGTATAAATGTAGCATGAAGGTTTCCTTTGAAAATGGGCCAACATTGGCAAACATATTTAAGGGAAATCATTTCAGATATGAGCATGCTTTTGCTCGAAACAAGAAAATATGGCTGCTGTATCAAGGGATTGTCACTTGATAAGATTTTTTACAAATAAATCTGCCGCAGGAATTCTTAATTAGTGTAGTTAGACTGACAGGTTGAAAAAAAATGAAATTATGAGAAACAACCGACTAAAGCGTGAAATTAGATATTTTGTCCCTAAAAAACAAGTTTAAAATATCCCTTGTGCAAGCCAAAAGAATGAAACTTGAAATAAGATGCTTTTGTTTTGAAACTTCACAGCTAAAAGTAAATGGTAAAGCATGCTGAAGGATCTGTAGCAGACGTGTCCCTTGTATTTAGCTAAACAATTAAACAATTAAGACTTGGCAGGTGAGATTTACTTGAATCAAGTCAAACAGTGAGATTGAAAATGACATTTTTGATGATATATTTCAAACCTTTTAAATGAATGAGTCTTAAGCATGACTTATAACCCTGTCAGTATATTCAATGCCTCCCACATGGTCTTTCACGTAACAGCTGACCAAATCGAGTCCAGAAAGAACATCAAACATATTTGACAACAAGACAGAGTTAAGGAAAGTTCAAAGAGTGTGGGAGTTTTGATTCACTTTTACACATGCTGGTCTGTGTTCAAATGTCAGATCCCGTGCACAGTGAGGTGTGCGACTCTGTGTCGTATGAACAGCTGACAGGGCAGGTCCCAAGGTCCTCATGGTTGCTATATAAAGAGGATCCTGATCTTAGAGTGAGAGCTACTACACTTTGGCAGAAATTTTTATTTACAGGATGAATACCCTCCAGACTCTGTGTCTTTTGGTTGCGGGCCTCTCTGTTGGTGAGTACAACTTGACAACGCACAGCTGTTTGTCCGGCATACATGTTGGTTCTGAATAGATGCATCCTCTAGTCGGATTCTGATTGTTCCCACTTTGTTGTGTTTCAGCCCAGTCCTTGGACTACAAGGCACTCAACCAGTTTAGAAGAATGATCCTCTGTGTGATGCCTGACAGCTGGCCTGTTTTTGACTATGCTGACTACGGCTGCTACTGTGGAAAAGGAGGCTCTGGCACGCCTGTGGATGATCTGGACAGGTGATGATTCAGTTACTCTGTCTCATTCTAAAATGACTTTTAAAAAAAGCCTGTTCGGTCTGTTTGAGTATTTCTTGTTATATCTGTAGGTGCTGTCAAGTGCACGACCAGTGTTACAGCGATGCTATGCAGCACCCTGAGTGCTGGCCCATCATCGACAACCCTTACACCGAGCTCTATGACTACAGCTGTGATAAAAAGAACAGGAAGGTCACCTGCAGCGGTGAGTACACCAAAACAAAAAGCTTCTCCTGCTCATTTGTTCTTATAAACGTGTTCATTTGTTCATAAAACCTGCGGTAAGATGCATTTTTACCCTTTTCTGTCGCTGTATTTTTGTTATTGTCACATTGATGGGAACAAATTGTCTCTATTATAATAGAATCTATAATGTTCCCAGTTCCTTTAATTTTTTTTTTTTATTTGTAATCTCAACGTGTTCTCTGCTTTCTCTTCCTCAGACGAAAACGACGAATGTGAGATGTTCATCTGCGAGTGTGACAGGAAGGCCGCTGAGTGTTTTGCCAGGTCACATTGGAACCCCGACCACGAGCACCTGCCCAGCGACCAGTGTCATTAAAGATATCTGCAAATAGTTTTCAAAAGTGACAGATTGTTTTGTTAATTTATTGAGAATCATTATCATGTTAAGATGTTTTCACATAAACCTTATGCTGTACAGCCACATTCAAAATATCATGATTTCTGTATGAGACAATGCATTTCTCATACTGTAATTTTACAAACCTATCACCATCCATCATTCACTGCATGTGGAACTGCAAAGTTCTCAACACAATGAACACAATTACATGTACATCTCTCATTTTACCTCACCTCACATTCTACTGATAGCCAGTCATTCAAGCGTATAATGTTGAATGTGATTCCTGTCACTTATGTTGCCATTAGAGGGCACTATGGTCTACCTTTTTTTTGCCTGGCTTCCAGGATGAAGTCGGTAGTATACCTGTCATCTGATGCTTTGTTTTTTCATCTATCCTTCCATACTATCTGTAAAACTCTTATATCCAGTGTGTAATATTTGCATATAATCAGATAATAAAAATGTATTTACAGAAAAGGACAGAAATAATATTCAGGTTTTCATTTTGCCTCTGTTTTACATTTTGTGGGTATGAATGGGGGTTTGTGTCACGTAGGTTTTTTCAATACATCGGCCAGTAAGTAGTTGTGAAGGCACAGTCACCCTCCTTCCCCCATAGAGTCAGAGCAAATAAAAGATGGCGTGACCTTTATAAACAGAGTTTTCTTTATTGTAACTATAATATAATGCACACTTTTAAACTGCAAGTACTTTACACTTTAACTTTTATTATATTATAGACAGACACAATCTGAACAGACAGGTCTTCTGGCCTGACAAAATGCACAAACGTGTAGTTATACAGTATGCAAAACAAACATGCAATGCACCTTTCTGCAGTTAAGGGTCACTCTTACTGAATTAATGAATTCGTTTTGCCAGAAGCTGCTGTTAGCCACTTTTAGCCACTACAAATCACCGCAACAAACATTCACAAACAGTGTTGTCACAAACAATCTATCGTCAGCTCATTCTGTATTGCTAGTGACACTGGTTATTTCTATCACAGTTTTTACTTGTTATGTACAACTCCCAGGGCACCAGAGGGCTGCAGGTGAGATGTGGTTGCTTGTGAGATCATTTGGGACCCGAAAAAAAAAAAGAAAAAACGAATCTAATCACTGCAGCCGAATGTGTTGGTTTCAGCTAGCCACCACTGTTAGCTCCCAGCAGCTCACTCTTTGTTTCAGTCTTCAGGGTATTGTTCAGACAACACTAAGCATCAGCACTGTAAGCAACAGCAGCTGGTAGCTGGCTGCTGGCCATCAGCCAGCTGTGGCTGCTGCTGGCTCGAAGATAAAATGAGACAAAATGGCAAATGCAAGGAGGAAAAAATAGATATTGACCACTTAGTAATATTATGAGTCATCTGCTATTGTTACTGTAAGGTAGCTATAAGTGGCTAGTGCAGCTGGTTATGTCTTGGATTGACCAAGAAGCCTGTTGTGAGGGAAATGATGATTATGATGGTGTTTTCATCTTGTGCTGATTTGCTAATTGGAGATTTACACTGTTTACACTGTTGTTTGAAGCCAAGTCCAAATTGCTGAACACATAATTTAACACCTTGACGCCGAAACAGTGTTAGCAGTGGAAGATGAGACCAGTATCACCGTGCATGTTACAAAACACAAGGTGTCCTCCAGTCTTCCAAACTGAGTGACAAAATTGATTGTTTGTCAGTGGCTTGAAAAATGACCCACGTGAGTGTTTTCTGATACCTGTTGTCAGGATGACATCATTTGTCAGAGTTGTTTTCAAATGACATAGTGTGTGTGTGTGTGTGTGTGTGTGTGTGTGTGTTTGTGTGTGTGTGTGTGTGTGTGTGAGAGAGAGAGAGAGAGGGAGACAGAGAGAAGGAGAAAACAAGTAAAAGTCAAACATTATTGTATTTTTTCTGTCACTCAACACCTACGAGTTCAGGCTCTGTTTTTAAAACTCTGCCTTTATACTCAGAACTGTTTTGTGCGTCACACTGATTGTCTGTGTAGAAACGGAGAAAAAAAAAAACATCACACAACTCATACTCTTTACTAACCACACTGGATTATGGAGATATCCTTTTGCGGTCTACCCTTAAACCGCTGGATGTCATACACCACAGTGCCATTCAATTCATCACTGAAGATTGAGTGATTGCACTCACCACTCTGAACTGGGAAAGACTGGTTTCAATATAATCATTCATTCATTAGCCATACCCCTTATCCATATATTGGTGGTGGTGGTGGTGGTGGTGAGTGTCTGGGGGGGGGGGGGGGGGCCCTGGACAGGTCTCACACTTACAGGCAATTTAGAGCCACCAATTAACCTAACCTGCATGTCTTTGGATTGTGGGAGGACTGGTTTCCAGTATTATATAATATCGCTAATGGGACAGTAAGTTCACACGGTTCATTGAAGAGATGTACTTGTACCAGTGACTCTGGTTTCATGGTAGTAACTCTTTGCTCTTTTGTGAGATTATTTTGACTCCGACAGAGGAGTTTAAACAAAAGTGAATGTTGCAGCACAGCTAATTTGGACTTTCTGACTCATTGTGAAGATGGCATGCTATTGGTCCCCAGCACAAATGCACAGGTTAACATTTATCAAAGTTTGATGCAAAATTTTTTTGCAGATTTGCGTTGCCCCTAATTGCAAACAATTCCATCAAAATGAACTAAACTGCCACTACTTTTAGCCATTTTAGATGCTGGTGTTACCATGGTGTTTACGTGCCTTACTTCTGGAATGAACTGAGTTTCTTTTTTACCTGGAGCATCAGAAACTTTTCTTGGTTGCTTCCTCGGTTTTTATTCCTAGTTGCTGTAGCCAACTCTGGCAAACAAATCATTGTTGGTTGACATAAAACACATCGCTTCCGGTACTCTGGCACGAAATGCCACTAGATTTAAAAATGTGGTGTACAATGAAATACAAAGAGATGAACCTGGCGCTTAATCAGCATCGTGCAAACTTAAAGTTCTGCTTGACACTGGAATCCAAGTTGCAAAATATTAGTAAAAATCATTAGAAACTTGGTTGTACTCTCAGATGAACTAGAAGTACATCCATTTACTAGCATTGATAATGTATCGTTCCTCTGGGGTTCTATTTAGCTTCTCATTCACTGGATGTCACGAGGCACCCCCCCTCACATGTAACACCAGATACCAACCCAACACTGATGAGTCTAATAAATAGATAAGTGCTTCAAGATATAAGGTGCGCAAACCTGCTACATGTGTCAACCGCTCACATGCGACATAGAAACTCAGCTGTGACAATTCCCAAAGGCGGTACCCCCTATGCCGGGAGCATACGAACCTGAGAGAAAAGTGAAAGACAAAGAAACAAGTCTAACAGAAAGGTGACTAAGAAGGAGTGGAACAGGAGAAGCAGAGAGAGAGACACTGTCTCACAGCAGTTGGCTGCCGCAGTGTCTAATAATGACCCCGCCCTTGCATGTAAACACAAGCCCACGCATTATCCAGAGTACTCGCTTGCCCTGATGCTGCCATGGTTACCCACTATTTGCAATACCAATCATGTACAGTACAAGAAGTAACGATTTCCAGCATGTTATTCAACTTTTCACAGCAGGTAGGGGAGTGACTAGTGTCTGAGTGAACAGACTCTCCTGTGCAAACCATCTGTGTTGAATTGTTGACTTATTCTGTCTGGTATGCGAGATGGAAATCTGAGCCTGAGTCGAGAGAATGGATGGCTGTGTGAAAGTACATCATGAGCATGGCCGTTCATTCACTATGCTTGGAGAAAATGGGGTTAGTACCTGCAAGTACAAAAGGTTCTTGGAGTAACCGCTTTGCCCATGTGACGTGTGTTTTCTCCGAGACAAAAACAGGTTTCATGTTTTCACTTTTTCCTCTAGGGCCCAGGTATCTTAATCAAGGCTCATGTGTCATTCTTCAATGTCTATTATTGCACAGTGCACTTTGTAAATGGATATATATAGAATGATTTGTTTGTAACTTCTACAGGAGGGAAGAAAAGAGAAAGAAAAGCTTTTAAAAAACAATGGATTTAATCAGAACAAAAATGACGTATGTGCTGTTCACATTTCAGCAGGGTGGTTGGGCTGCTTTTTAAACAGTAGGCTATAGACCATCTAACACTGGGAATTGAGAAAGATCAAACATCTCTAAAAGCAGTCACTCTCTTTTAAATATTAGTTAATTAATATATTCACATTATTTACATATCCTCATAGCTCTGTTGAGAACATATGGGCTAATTTCACTTGGCTGGACACAAAGTTTTCCACTCTGCCCTGACTCTCCTTGATAAACTCTTTTGAAGATACTGCAGGTCAGCAGAGTTCTGCATACTGAGGGACACGTGCGAAGGCCAAGATGGTGGCTGATGTTTTGATAGTGTCGGGTAGAAGTGGTTAGCATCGCTTTGGTTAGCATTTGATGCATCTTTTTCCATGCACACCCTGTAATTCTTCCCTCTGTTGTCATCCCAATGTGGTGTCACACCAGGTCCCGGCCTGAAAGACACACAAAACTCGATCCGCTCCTTTGGATCGATGTTCTGGGGTAAGCTTAAGTCGAAGGCAAAAACACCCATATCAGAACCCCCACAGCGCAGCTGCTGCAGGAACGTGCAGGGAATGTCATGATGGCTCCTCCAAGAGTCAAAGGTCACCCTTATATGCACAGCTTTCTCAGTACTGACATGGGAGACACACACTTTGCCACTCAGAGAGCGTTCTGAAATGTTGCAGCTTTCCAGTTGTACACGCATCTCTCTCAGACGTGCAAGGAAGGCTTTAAAGTCCAGTGTCGGCTGAGGGAAGGCCAGCCTCAACTTGTAGCGCCGCAGGTTGTTTGGGGTTGACTGTTGGCCTTGCAGTTTGGCCGGCGAGGGTTTCATCAGCAGAGCAGGAGTGGTAGAGGAGGGTTCAGGGATGAATAGCCGCACAGCAGTGAGCGCCAATCCCTTCGTGTCTGCAAACACTACACGCTTTTTGTTCACAGTGCCGCTGTCTCTGCGGAAACAGCTCCGAGGCTCTGAGGGCACAGGTGAGGAGAGCAGCAAGGAGGATGAAGAAAAAGGGGAGAGATATGGGGATTGACGGCTGGTCTTCGGCAGGCTGTCGGTCGGCTGACAGGGACGCTTTGCCGGTTTCAGAGGGGACATGGAAAGCAGCTGGTAAAGAGGCTGGCGCTGACTGAGGCTCAGACACGCAGCGAGGTCGACCGGCATCACAGCGGGCTTGGGGTGACTACCAAAGGCATGGAGAACTCTGAGGAGGAAGCCGTGATGGGGTTACAATGACATCTACTGTCACACAGAATGACTGCACATATTTCTGCTGTAGAAATTCTGCCTTTACAACTTGTTCTAATGACTGACACACAGGTACTGTTAGTTCTCACAGGAACAGTTAAATGAAAGCACATTAGCTTACCTTGTACAGTTCATTCTCAGATTTTAAACTGTCAGTCAGTTGTCTTTGCTTGAGGGCTGCAGCAAATTCAGAATAATCTACAAGCGGGAAAACAGAGGTAAAGAATGAATAAAACTTCTCAGTGAATTAAACAACTATGAGTCAAAAGATGACCTGTCTGAGATGAGTTCAAACTGCACTGAAGAACAGAGACAGCTAAGTGCCTAAAAACTGAAAATGTGGAGGCATATTTTAAAAATGCAGAACATACTTACATATTGTGTTTCAACAAATCAGAGAAAAAGAAAAGAGATGATCGTAGTCCAAGTCTGTCTCTCCTCTCTCTCTGGAGCTTATGTGAAGAGTTTGGGAATGAGGCTGGACCTTCTGTGACAATTTATTTGCATGTGGGTAGTTTAACCAATGAAGAGAAGCTCCTTTGTTTATGTCCTGCCCCTAAAGAAGTGTTGCATCAAAGTTAGGTTTCAGAGTTTTCCTTGCTGCTATATTTATCTTTTTGGTTTACTTAAAAATGTAGATATTTAAAACAATAAATGTTTCATGTTAAGTTTATTGTAGAACCCAGGAGTAAAGAAAAAAAATGAAACATGTGCACACCCATTAGAATATGTGTTTTTACACCAGTAGAGGTGTGAAAATGAAAAACATCAACAGATAGCCTTTTCAAATTACAGGCCTCTCTTTTTCCCTAGTGCCTGTTAAAGGGAGGCTGCAAGCACAATATCCAATTAAACGCTAAATCCAAAAGTTAGAATATAAAAATTTGTCCATTAAATGTGTGTAATGGTGGAGTTCTTCTTTTCCCTGTCTGCTTTTAAATTTAAATTGTAAATCATGCTGGCAGGCACAGTGCTCTCATTTTCAAATTAGGAAAGGGATGGACCTCAGGAGAAAATTGTAATGCTATCATAAAAAGAAGTCACCCGACATTAAGCTTTGATGTAGCTGAGGGAGAGAATGACTGTCCACGGCTAAGTTGAAATAGTATATATTGAGGCTATTTAAAGATGGTAAATAATCAGTCAACAATATCAGATTGGCTAAACGACTATTCTTCAGCGTACAATATAATCTTTTAATATGGTACATAACTAGACTTTTTGGTTAGCATTCATTGTATGTCATCATCCTGCTTTGCATTTAGAATATATTAGATATAATATATGAAAATGAGCCTGACTCGAAAACTATTATGTAGTAAAATATAGTTTAACATTCTGGGAAACAGTCTTACTTGCTTTCTTGCCAATAGCTTGATGAGAACATTGATACCACTTATGTGTGCACAACTTCTTACATAACAACAGGCTTACATAGAGATAGGCTATTCAATATGTCTCATACTAGCCTACACTTGTGTTAGCAAGGAGTAGTTTTAATCCTACTGGGCTGTTGCTTTTTGATTGCAACATGGTGAAATTCCTTAAAACAGGTTCAGACTAAGATCTGTCTGGGAGTTAACAGAATGCCGCCCCAAAGAGTTATTACAAAACACTCCCTTGTTTTAGTATTACATTATGTTTGGTGGGTATCCAAACTGACACAGTGCCTAGGGCTTGTCCCAGAAACTGGTTAATTCATGACAGACAGGCTCAAACAAAGCAAATTCTATGATGTGAATACATTCTTGCAAACAGGTTTTGGGTACCAACCACAGACTGGGGCGCAGCAGTTTCTTAAGTTATCAGGTTTATAGATTGTTGACTGTTTCAACTCGAAAGGTACCTTTTTCATAAACTCCTTCAAGACATTGATTTTTCTTTGAGCAGAATATTCAACAATCATATATTGCATGGCATGTGAACATGTGACCTCACAGTTAAATATTATAATAATTCAATAACCTCACACTATAATGTGTTATATAATGTCAGCTAAACTATAGAATATAGATGATTATTGGCTGGGTTGCAACAGCAGGGCCATCCCTATAACCTGGAATGTCGCTGACTGACTGACTGACTGACTGATAGACTGATCATATTTCCACCACTGGTCAGTCGAATGTCTCACTGAGTTGGAGTGCAGTGTTGCCAACTTAAGCACATTGTTGCTAGATTTGGAGACTTTTTTTCAAACAAACTGGGTACAAACCTGGTACATGACTGAACTGTGTATGGATGCTAAGTGGGGACTGAGGGCTACACCTCTTGTTTTAGGCAGTCTACTGAGCTGCTCTGGTTTCCAAGCTGCTCGGGAACTGCAGGGAAGCAGAGTAGCACTTCCAATACTCTGAGCCTCGCAAATAAACTACTTTCTTTACATGTACCATTATTACTAAAGGAAGCAGAGGAATAACTAAACATAAGAAACACCGAACAGAGGGAGCAGGAGAGATGGAGGGAGAGACAGAAGCCATTGGCAACTGCTAAAGAAACTAGAAGATCTGAATAGCATGTAAACAACAGAAACACCCTCAACTAGTAATGAGACAATATGACAATACAGCACAGCAATAAAAGTCCTGTTAAGAAATAAAGGGTTTCTGCCCACTGAAATGCTAGAGGACTTTATATTTGAAACGATCACAAGAAGTGTTGATTTTGTATTAACACATAATGCAATAACAGGACAGATGGGAGCGACTCAAAATGAGGCTTTGCACTGAAATACTACCATGGCCAATTCTATATATCAAACTGAGGGAACTAAACAAAAGCCCTGCCAAAAGTCTGTTATATTCTGGAGTTGGAAGTAAATAAGGGCTAAACTATTGTGGATCCCAGATGGACTCTGTGAGCTGTGTGACAGACAAAATAAGGAAGATAGTTTGTCTCAGGGCACCACGGTGGCTCACCTGGTGGAGTAGGTGCGATTTGGGCTTAGTCCTTGCCCTGAAGACCCTTGAGTCTGACGTGTGGCCCTTATATAGAAAAATAACTCAATAAAAAGAAAGATAGTCTGTCTCTCCTAACTTTCTCTCTGAGTGATCATTTTATAGGTAAGTAAATAGTAAATAGTAAATAGGCTATAGTTGAAATCACAGCAACGTCTTGTCTTTAAGTTATGTGTTTGGTGATTTTGTCAGACAATGTCGCTGTTATAAAATCAGAATTTGACTATAAGCAGTCCAGCCATTTACTATAGATTTTGACCTAGTCTACTAATATGTTAAAATGAATTGAATTGAATTGAATGAATAAAAAAAAAATAAAATACATATACTTTATGTGAAAGGGAAATCAGACTTGGTGCACTTCCTTATATGCTTAAAGTTGCCTACAGCTAATTTTTCACTTCTGGCGAGAGACAGCATAATCACAAAGGCTTCATACACTATCATCTCACGGGAAAGCCGATTGACTGGTGTTGTATTTGTGTAAAATATTAAGCATGGGGTGAAGTCACATAATAAAGCACATGAGTCAGGTTTTATTCGTACCTTCCACATCATTCAGCACACATGTCTTCAGTCTCAGTTCATTGTTTGTCTTCTGGCAACAGCTGGCCTTAGAACATGCCACAAAACCAAATCAGCGCCTGATGATGTCAGTCGGACTACATATACATGTTGGTATGTGTGTGAAAGTAACTACTAACTGTGTTAGTATGTGCTTATTTAGGACATTGTGAAGAAAGGGCTGGACTCCATAAACCATGTCCACCAGTCCAACAGGGTAGTTTCGTAAGTTCATGAAGCTGTTGGGCTACTTGCACAAAAAGCAACAGATAGCCTTCTCCACACTACTTAAGGTCTCTAAACCATGATGAATTACATGCTAATTAATCCTTTAATACAAACCTTATAGTCGATTATTTCACAACCAGAAGATTCTAAAAATATAAAAGCATAAAAAGAAGATTTAAAAAAAGATTTTGGGGCCATGAAAAAAATCGGTTTTTAATGAACTCATCTGTTTACCACTAGTTTGGCTTCATAAACTTGCATCAAACTATTTTTGCACATATATAGTTACAGCACTACGATTAAGTAGTTTATTTTTTTTTACAATTGCACTGCTCATTTCAGAGTGTGACTCTTTTATGAAATAAGATTACACCAAAAAAGTATATTTGGAGCAACATGTGTTTAAAATGGAAACTTTGCTTTGGCACTGAACATTTTTTTTTTTACTTTAACAAGTAGTAGTAGAAGCAAATAGAAGCAACACCCACATGCTAGTAATAAATAGTGGCAGTGAGAACAGCTTGAGCTTAGATTTTGAATTCAGTGGATGTAAGAAGAATCAATTGTACATGTTTCAGAACTGCACTGTGAACTTCATTCTCTGTCATCTCCTTTTACTGTATTGAAATGAAATATATTCACATTGTAACACTGGATCATATTAACCTATAATTCCTCCAGCGTCACATTACTTGGATGCAGAATGTCAGGTTTGACACTGAGGTGTCAGATTGACACACTTTCTCTTTCCGCTTCAGTATATGACAATCCACTTCGACAATCCACATCTTAGTGGGTAATACTGTTTCAAGTTTTGCATGTGAATACCACCATTATCATCATAATGTTTCAAAAAGTCCAGTCAGGTGAGTCACAATATATGGACCTACAGATCTACTGTGTATTCATTATTCAGAAATTATTTTCATAATGAGAATAATTATTGACAAGTTTCGGGCAAAAGCTCACCACAGTTACACTGTTAATGTTCAGACCCCAGCTGTACACTATTATTAATCAATTGTAGTTATAGATTATATGTTGCCATTTGCTCAGTTTTTTTTCATCAGTGCCATATGAGTTACAAGGCACAGGTGGTTGTCTACAGATTCTTACTCCTTTATTTCACTGTCTGGTTTTGGTTCACTCACCGCGCAAGTCTATTATATGACATGATGATATAATGTGACCGAGGCATAGGTGCCAAAAGTCATGATGCACACCAACTGCCCGCTTTCCGCTACATGCAGATGTTCAATGAGCTCACACCGAGTCATACAGCTTGGATCATTAATCTCTGTTTTTACAGCGTCTGTCTGCCTTTGTGCATTACTGCATGGTCTGTCTCTCTGTCTCGATTTCTTCCTCCAATCAGTGTCATTTCTATGGGCTCACGTAGATTTAAAAAGGAAACTTGGGACTTTGTTGTTTTCCCGACAAGTGAGATCAAGTACAGTGCACTCTCATACATACACCTCCTGTCCCTAATGTCTCTATAACACATTAGGAATACATATTAGCCAAGCTGAGCTGTTGGTGCTAATGCAACAGGGGGCCGTCTGAGGATAGTTGTTTATGCTTGTGACAAAACAAATTAGGACCCTATTTGCATGCTTTGAAAGATGTTTAAAAATTATATTATGCAAAAATCTTTGCTTGTTAAGGCAACAGTAATGCGAGTGGGGAAATTCAGCCAAGGCTCTGCTTGAAA